ATGCAGGGATGTGGCATTTCCAATTTTCTGACCCAGAAACTGAGCTGGAATTTGGTCAACACCTTTCCTGTAAGTATTTTGCATGCGTTTTCTGTGAAAACTTTTTTTTTTAAAGTAACTTAAAAAAATTTTTATATCTATTTTTCAAAGCACAACACATTTTACTGGGAAGGTCTTGATGGCTCCAAAGTTTTGACTCACTTCCCACCAGGGAATTCCTATGAAATGAAAGGAAAGATTGAAGATGTGAGTGTGCAGTGTTACACCCTGATACATTTATTGCATATAGGTACAATAAATGTTGAGGAAATATGTCAAACTTTCCTCTGTGCTTTACTCCACCCAAAGCTGGTGAAAACTGTAAAGAATAACAAAGACAAAGGGCGAGCCAATCACAGTGCAGCATTGTTTGGCTTTGGCGACGGCGGCGGTGGCCCTACGCAGCTGATGGTTGATAGGCTCGGCCTGGTCGGGGACACAGACGGACTTCCCAAGTAAGTTCCGGTCTTTCACTTTAAATCATCAGTCCGTAACAACAACTGAGCCCAGTTTAAGCAGGAAACACTTCCCACCCATTGTTGTTATTGTAGAATTGTTATGCAGTACTGTGTCACTTTGCTTTGTGTTTTAAAAGGGTGGTTCAGATATGGAGAGGTTTACCGGAAAATGAAACAGATCTGCTGTCATTGTGCAATGCTTTAGTTTTCAAGTGCCAATAAATGTTATGTTTAATCAGAAGAAATAATATTTAATGTTGAAACTTTATACTCACTTTCATTCTCTGTTATGGGCTTTTCTCAGGGTCCAGATGTCCAGTCCTTCAAAGCTTTTCTCACAGCTGCAGGCTGACTCAAGGCTACTGTGCACTTGGACTGGAGAACTCTTCCTGGAGCTGCATAATGGCACTTACACCACTCAGGCACAGGTAAAGTCAAAACAGAGGCTGCAGTCAAGGCTGGGTTGTTTGTTTTTAATTGAAATTAAAGCTTCTAACAAGAAGAAAAAATATGTTGAGCAACACAAGTGTGGAGTTTTTATTTCTTGCCACACATTCTCAGCTGAATTTAGGTCTTCCAACATTTTGTTTTTACAAATTTTTACTCAAAACAATTGTATCAAGGTTCATGGACTTGGATTTAAAGTATCAGGATTTAATGTACGACACTCTTGTCAAGATAGTATTATAGACTTGAAAATGGAGCTGTCTAAGTTAGGCCAGTTGCGATAAACAATAAATTAATTAATCACACGATGAAAATAAATTACTAACCTCATTTTAAAATACTGACCTGTCCAGGGTGTATCCCGCCTCTCGCCCGAAACGTTCACTGGAGATACCATGTCATTACCATTGCATCAGTTTAAAATGGTTTTCTACCAATATTTATTTATTGCAATAATTTTTGAGACAGAAAAATTTGTCAATATAACAGTTGCTCAGATCAAAAAAATCTGGACAGGGTTACTGTGATAAAAATCCATGATCACAATTATGAATTGAAAACTGAGTTTTCTGTTCAGTTTAACAAATTTTGGAGTACACTGACAAAGTCCAGTGAGGTGCAAGATTTCTTACTCAAAACTCAGAATTTGAGTTTGGAAAAGTATTGGATTATGAAATCAAAAAGTTGTCGGTTCTCTAATGAACATCTTGAATGTTTTGCCTGTCAAATTTAAAATTAACTTAGATAAAGCTTTTACACATTGATGCGTCACAAGAAGACAGTTTTGAGTTTCTAGACACTGAACTATTGTTTCTTGCGTCTCTGCGTTCAGATAGTTTTTTTTTTCTTTCTTTCTTTCCCTGCAGATTAAACGTGAGAACCGTCAGTGTGAGACTTTGCTCCATGATGTCGAGGCAGCCAGCAGCTTGGCACTCTGCCGAAACGAGATGTTTCTTTATCCTGCAGAAAAACTGCAGCGCCTCTGGAGGTTCAAATATAACTTCAGATTCAATCAGAAGTATTATAAAACACAATTATTATTTTAATATTTATGGGGTTTTTCTCTCTCTGAAAGGCTTCTTCTTCTAAACCAGTTCCACGATGTGATTCCTGGCAGCTGCATCGGGATGGTTGTGGAAGATGCTCTTAATTATTATAAAGGTACAATGTTTAAGATAGGAGTTTTGTTTTTACATTTCAGACATATCATAGGTACAATATTTCTCCATCCTATTGAAGATATCAGAAATGACGGTGGGGTCCTTCTGCGGGAGGCATTGGAAGCCTTAGAGCCAAAGAGCAGCTCTCCTGGTGTGTTTAACTCTCTTGCCTGGGAGCGATGTGAAGTCGTTCGGATTCCAGATGGACCAGACAGTTCCAAGCTAGGTAAGCTTCATATCCAGAATATTTAGGTTCTTCAGGTTTAAAGTTAAAACCACTGCTCTGTGGTCCTGCAGCTCTGGTTACAGCTCCCAGCGTCGGCGTGGCTCCTGTCAAAGAAACACAGCCTGCGACTCCAGTCTCTGTCACTCCTCAGGTATTCGCTACAAAGAAATCTACATCAGCACTATTCACATTTTATATTTCTAACCGAGTCCTGTGCATGTTTCCAGGCAGATGGCAGTGTCCTTATGGAGAATGGGATTTTACAAGCAGTCATCAGCAAAGATGGCACACTGGCATCACTGAGTTTAATCAGTGCTAACAGGTAAATTTAGACCATATGTTTACTCTTGTATGTAATCTGTTGGCACATCGAATAATGACCGCTGACGCTTTCAGAGAAACTATTTCTGATGGCTCTTCTGGAAATCAGTTTGTCATATTCGATGACATCCCCCTGTACTGGGACGCATGGGATGTGATGGACTACCATCTTCAGACAAGGTCTCATCACTGTCACTTTTACAAACATCACAGAGTTAAGAGGAATGTGTTTTGAAAGATTGTGAAATCTCAAAAAAAAAAACTCTTTAGGAAGCCAGTAGTGGAAGTAATACAGCCTGTCCAGGTAGCGTTCCAAGGAGGAATCAGAGGCAGTGTCAGCTTCACCCTTCAGATCAGCAACAAAAGCACCATCGCGCAAGAGATCATCATGGATGCCATGTGTCCCTACATCAAGTTCAACACAAAGGCACCCTGATTTCTGATACAGCTTTTGTTTCTCTCTACGATCCCTTCATTTGTTCAACTGAAGAATACATCTGTGTAATTCCAGGTGCAGTGGGCAGAGTCGCACAAGTTTCTCAAAGTTGAGTTTCCTGTGCGAGTACGAAGCCCGAATGCAACATATGAGATTCAGTTTGGTCATCTGCAGAGGCCAACACATTGGAACACATCGTGGGACTGGGCTAGGTTTGAGGTACGGCAGTAAAAAGTCACTCATCATTTCCTGTTAGTCATGACCACATTATTGTTTTTAATGCGTTTTCTTGCCAAGGTTTGGGGTCACAAATGGGCCGACCTATCAGAGCACAACTTTGGGGTGGCACTTCTGAATGACTCCAAATATGGTTATTCCATCCACAAGAACACAATGACTCTTTCCCTGTGAGGCTTCCTGTTTTTGTTTTCCATCATAATGCCAGTTGAGCCAAATTTAGTGTTTAATTGTTGTAATTACTTTTTTTTTAGACTAAGAGCACCAAAGGCACCGGATGCTACTGCAGACATAGGGAATCACCAGTTCACATACGCCATCATGCCCCACTCAGGTAGGTCTGGTTTGTTTCTGATGTGAGCTGTTATAAAACACACTCGTTGAACATGTGTGTCTTTTACAGGATCCTTCCAGGATGCTTCAGTCATTCAGAGTGCTTACAGCCTCAACTACCCTCTGAGGCCAATCCAGTGCCGCCCTGACTCGGCACCCTGGAGTGCCTTCTCCCTCAGTCCATTAGCAGTCATCCTGGAGGCCATTAAACAGGTATTACATTACAAGCCAAGCTCCATAACAGAAAGTGATTCATGAAACAGTATCTTGTGAAAATGTTCAGGTCTCATGAACCTTTCCAGTTTTGAACTTGTTACAAACCTTGATGTACCTTATTGGAATTTTATGTGACACAGCTACTTTGAAAATTATGCAAAGTAGTGCATCATTTTCAAGTGGAAAGAACAGAAAATATGATTTTCAAATTGTTTTTTTAAATTATCACTCCGACTTTCCTCAATACAATTTAGCACAACCACTAAAACTATCACAGTAAGTCACCCTGATCACCCTGTCCCTAGAGTAAAACAAGGTGGTGGCAGCATCATGATGAGGAGATGGTCATCCTCGGATGGGTGGAGTTAATTAGAGTAATCCTGGAAGAGAAGCAGTAAGGCTTGAAAAGGTTCACCTGCCAGTAACATAAAATATACAGCCACATCTACATTGGTAGAGATTTGTTTATTTCAAATTATGCTGCATAGATTACCTTTTGTAGTATCCAGAATAAATGTTTTACACTATTTTAAACGTGAAGACAAATTGCTGTGTTGTAGAGCAGTAAAAAAACTGTAATTTTTTTTTTTTTTTTTTTTAACTCCCGGCATCTTTTAACATAGTCCCATTCAAAGCTTGAAAATTTCAGTGAAAGTTTGTTTACAAGGCTCTGAAGTGTTGTTTGCCTTAACAGGCAGAGGATGGAAACGGGAACCTTGTCGTGCGTCTCTACGAGTCCCATGGGAGCAGTATTACTGCAACTCTGCGCAGCAACCTTCCAGTTAAGGAAGCATGGCAGTAAGTGCTTCTAATTTCAGTTTTTATTCTGGTCCTCTATGCTGATTTGGAATGATTTTCTAAGAACAATGCCATTTCTTTCAGCTGTGATTTGTTGGAGAGGCGAGACCCCACCCAGCCAGCTCACATCACATCAGGGGGAATCTCTCTGAACTTCAAACCCTTTCAAATTGTGACACTTCTGCTCTGCTTTTGATTTATTCCCATATATTTCAAAACTTAGAGGACTTGAAAGAGGGAATATTTGGTGTAATTCTGCTAAAACAATGTGATCACTTTACAATGACTCAATAACCAAATTTTTCTAGCATTTTTTTAAAGAGTTTTTATTTTTTAAAAATTATAAGTATAAAATTCTTTTACAGAAAGATTTGGCTCCACATTCATTTGCTGTTTTTTCTGGTTACTCTCTCACTTCGTCTCGCTCTTCCTGCAATAACAAGTATGGAGAAGAATTTTCAAACTTTACATCGTTTTATAAAAAAATAAAGCATTTTAAATATCCAAGGTGTTTACCTGCAGCAGGTTCTACACTGCTGCTTTTCTTTCTACATGCACTTGACTTGGTTTCACTCTGCGGTGTTTCTTCCTGAGTCTTTTCAGCTTTTGCTTTCTTTGAAAGGATTTCCTTCGGATGTGGAGGTTTTTGTTTTTTGGGGGTTTCCTGTTTGACCACCCCTTTCTTTGTTGTGCTCTCTTTCACATTTTTGGCCACCTGAATGAAGGAAACTAGTGTTACCAACAGTTCACACAGACTAAGGCTTTGAGCAGTTAGTGATTTTTACCTTTTTCTTGCCTGGATAGTCATGATCATCTTTCTTTGCCCTCTTTCTTGTCTTGGGTGATTTTGAATCTTCAGAGAGAGGGGGGGAGATGCGAGTTATGTATGATTCAAATGTTGCACTTACTCAGCCACTTTGGTAGAAATTACAGAATCATTATTCTTGGGGAATATCCAGCTACTTTGCAACAAATATATAATTAGAAATAATGCCCTTAAGTAGTTCATTTTCATAACTGCAAATTCTGGCATTGTAAAATAGAGCACAACAACTGCAAGTTGTCCTTTATGGTAAAAATTTGAGGCTGGCTTTCCTATTAAGCATGGATTTTTACTAAAGTAAAGGGATTTCCTGCGATTTCACCCTCTTGAGCTGCAGATAACAGATACGCTTTGCAGGACGGAGCCTCATTATGTACCTTTTTTGCTTGTTTTCTTACACTTTAGCCCATATTTCAATTAGACCACAATCATGTTTATTGTTGAAGCTTGAGTTCATTTGAATTTCCTGAGACAAAAGTTAATGCTATTCACTCAGCGGTAGGATAATCCTGAATTTGGTTTTGTTGCACCTTTCTACTGATGGCGGGAGCAAAGTGTCAAAACTGTCAGTGTCCAACTCCTGCATGCAGATCTGTATCATCAATAATGACATTTTTAGGAGAATTTTAAAATTGAAAGAATCTGAAGTAAATTTATTTCAGTAAGTCAATAAAGAAATTGCTCATATTTCAAGTGTTTATCCATTTGATTTATGATTACACCGTAGTTTATGGCTAAAAAGAAACTCAAAGTCTACTTTTTTCAGAAAAGATTAGTATAAAAAAATACTGAAATAATGTAGCTTGTAAAATCTGAAGTCATTTATAGGGTTGACTTCGACAGTTGTCCAGCTGACAGTCACAAACACTCAATTACAAAACAAATTGGCTTCTTATGGAGTGCTGGGAAAGAATGTGGGAGGAAAAGTGCTAAAATGGGCGTAAGCAAACACGGAAAACTGCAACCTTGAAAGAATTCAGCAGAAAAGCAAATTCAGGAATTTGAGAAAGGTTCATGTTTAGACTGCAGATCTCTGGGGATAAAACACACAAAGTCCAGAACAAAATCTACACCTGCACATTCCTTGTGTTCAGAGGCAGACGATGTGAACAAGGACTGCTCTGCTGCAGTAAAGTGCCCAGATTCCACAGGAAAAGTGAACAAGACTGAAATCTGAGGCTTCGTCACTCCTACAGTCAACTAAGGGTGTGAAGCTTCCATAACTGCCTGCCATCTGCTGATGTTGGTCCACTTTATTTGATCAAGTCCCAAGTCAGCACAGTGCTTTGAAACACTTCATCAGTGTCGCAGAGACTGACTCCATTCCACACTGCAGTGATGCAGAACTTCATGCCAAAAACCAGCTACCACCAAGTACCAACTGTATAGTACATATACTATACAGTTTATTGATATACTTTTAAACAGGCTGACATATCTATTTTACAAATGTCTTTGTGGTTTTAGTCGTATATAATATACTAGTAAGTGAAACTGAACTTAGGAATTTATTTAGCTGTAATTATCAATAAAAATCAAAAAGCCCAAAAATGAACACTTGAACCACACTTGAGTATTTTTCACTGTTTGACATAAATGACTTAAATAAATTAACTTCATAGTATTATTCTAATTTACCGAGATATACCTGTAGCTAGATTTTTTTTCTGTTTTACAATGTGAACGTAAATTTCAGACACAGGTGATTGTGGATTTTCCTTCAATCATTTCTATTGTTGAGGCTCTGTCTCCAGTCAGTCAGTACTCGTGTGTTTTAGAATGCAATTTAAAGGGATTTCCATATTTTCATTCAGATATTGCAATGTTTTCCCCTCTATCTGATCTGATCAAAATAACATCATTTAGTTATTTTTAGGTAAGTTTTTAAAAATCACAATGTTCTGAGTGTTGAGCATTTAATATTTACCTTTGGGTACCATGGGCCCTGGGTCTCCCTGAAACAGATCAGAATCTTTCATTTTTACAATAAGTTAAAATTTAATTCTAAAAAAAAAACACTTCATTGTCCCATTTACTCGCCTTAAACCACATTGTTCTCCCATTGTGGTCCCGAACTGATTTCATTCCATCAACATAATAACACTGCAGCCATGCCTCAAAGGCAGAGTAGTCCATCTTCTCAGGGTCGTAGCCCTTACCACCTATTGCAGAAAATTTGTGATAAGTAGAGATTTATCTTAAGAATGTAAGGGAGGAACTGGACAGGAAATGAATCAGAGCCCACCTAATTTGATGACCTCCAGAGGAACTGTATGACAAAGTCTGAGAACATCCCCTCCCTCCTGTTTCATTGCTTTCTTTTTAGCCCTCTCTGGAGTCTTTTAGGAATATTAACAGTAATTCATGTTAGAAAAACAATGCTGAAAACAAAAGTGAGCCCGTTTCTCTTTTTCACCTTTGTGTCTGTGATCTCATTTTTCACTGGCTTCCCGTTCTCAAATTCATCCTCTAACTCAAGGCCTTCCAGTGCGTCCCTCGCACACACAAACGGTGGGATATTCAACCTGGAACAGAAGCAAATACAGTGTTGCAATTGTTCGAGAAAACAAAAACTTTTTTGCTCTGAAAATCTGAAGACGTGCCCTTCCCATACAAAGACAAAAAGCCATTCATAGAGTGTCAAGGAAACCACCTTGTGAAAAAATGAGAATGTATGCTTGATTCAGTCTGTTTTTCAATGAACAAGGCCACTCTGTTTCTTCCAGTAAGAAGCTCGGAAGAAAGAAACCTTTCCAAATACAAAAAGATATTTAGTCTGCCACAAACTGGATTCATTGATTTTAATTTAATTTGTTTTAAGAAATATTTTTGAATATATATAAATGTTACAAAGCAGCCTGATGTGATAATTACCCGAACAACAAATGAAGGGAAAGTTAATCTTACTTTAACTTACTTAAGTTTACTAAATCTTCCTAATTTAATGAAAAAAATTAAACATGTTGGATAAATTGATTAAATGTTTATATTTTAATCTCTGATTTTAGATGATTGTAGGTCAAAACTTAGAACTATTACTCCACTTGCTTCAGAAATGTTATTACAAAAGACCAACATCATAATGGGCTTTTTAGTACAACATCACTGATCTTCTACAGCATGTGCCAACTCAATAATTGTTTGGCCTTCTTGCACATCAAAACAGTGTGAAATGGAGGTGATCGTAACAGTATATAAGTTGAGTTTACTTTGTAACTTGACTTTCTGAAGTGTCACAAATGCATTTTTTTATGATAATGTTTCAAAGATGGACAATGGACCTGCAGATTGTTAATCAGGAACAAATTATTTGAAGATTTAATAGCTAAAAGTTGGTAAATATGGCAGGATTGTTGTCAGAGTGATGTTTCTTATAATCTGGATTTCGGAGCACGCTGCCTTAGTGTTTAAAAACGTTCTGAGCTTACACATGTGGAATATGTCATGTTATTTTCATGAATGTTCATCACCTGTACAGAATTTCAGCTCTCAAATAGTTCCCAATTCCATTGAAGTACTTTTGGTTCAGCAGGACCTCACAAATTGGGCGATCAAAAGCCCGATCGCTCAGATGAGACAAGACATTCTCCCTGCAAAGACGATTGCAAAGATCAATCTGAAAGCAGAATTTGGGATAAATTGGTGACCGGTGACATTCTCAGCATTACAAACCTGAAACTCTTGTACTCAAACATGATGCAGGGCCCTCTGTCAGGCTGCCAGGTTCCATTGGGTTGCCAGCTGCCAAACCTTCGTGTGTCTACAAAACTCAGCACTCGGCGAGGCTTCTCCTTAGTGTAGAAACGTAGATGGGCATGTTTAGGAACTTCTTCCTCTGATGTGAAGCGGAAATAACCTGACATCCCGAAGCGAAAGACTACGTCCATATGTTGATCTGCTTGTCCACTTTTTGACCGCCGCTTCCCATCATCGTCACTCTTCATGGGCATCAAAGTCAGCTTCACTTCCTTCCCTCTGGAAATGGCTGTGATGCGGTACGAATCACAGGTGAAGGCCACTTCTGGACTTTTGCTGACTTCAGATTTTATAACCGGTCCACTAAACACCACTCCATCGCACATTTTGTTGACATACAAGCTGGCCAAGTGGAGTTCAGGTCCCTCAGGCATTTTAATGGAACAAGTGAAGATGTGCTGCTGAGGAAGAGAGTCAGATAATGGTCAATAGAGTACCTAGCAAAACTATCTGCTGAACATTTAACTTCAGGGCTTCCTATGTCAAACTCAAATTGGTGAATCATTATAAAATGAAAATTGTTAACCTATTTTGAAGGGTTTTTTTTAAACAAATAAAAAACATTTTGTTTTGCATTAATTTGTATCAGATCCCTAATTCAATACATTCTAGAATCATATTTTGCTCCAAATACATCTGTGTTTTGAGTTCTTTCTCAACCAAATTGTGTTTACCTATTCAAGACACAACACAGTTAGCCATTTCCCACACATATTTATATGTAGTCCAAAAGCTTGATTATGGTTTTATGGTTTTCTTTTATGACTGCACAGTGGAAGTTTTGATTTGCATCAAGGCCTTGGCCTCCATTTATGCATGGAGTTTGCATATTCTCCTTGTGCATGTATGGGTTCTCACCAGATACACTGGATACACTGATATTCTTGACACTCCCATAACGGACAGATTTGTGGAGTTTATTTTGTTTCTTTTTTGGTTTGTTTGTTTAAGTTGTCCTATCAGCACATTCACATGCAGGTGCCATGAGTATTAGATGCTTCTATAATTAATGCTCTCCAACTAAGTAGTGTTTTTCTTCCAATTGTGTTAGTCTATCAGACAGATTGTCAATAAAATACATTGGGGCTTTTGTCCAATGTATTTGGACAAAAATACATTGGACATACATAGTTATGAGTATGGATATTATGAAAACTCTTCATAAGTGCTTTATAAATAAAATTTGCAGCACATTTCAGCAGCAAGGAAGTTCCCAGTGCTTTACATCATAAAAAACATGCACACACACAAAAGCAAACGTTAATGTCGTAAGGCACTGAATGTCATCTGTCACAATACAACAAAACACAGTCCACTGATAAAAAAACAAACTTTATGCTACAGTCCCCCTCCTTGTGCTGGATAAAGTGATTATGTGGACTAGCAAATTATGCAGCAACCCTCCAAAAGCTAATTGAGCTGATTTATAAATATTTTCACAAACCATCTGAAATTCAGATGCACACTAAACTTTTTTATTATTTATTTATTTAACCCGAGCAATGCTTTCAACATTGAAAGACAACAATGCATTTATTGTGGAATTTGACGTACGCGTGCAGCACTCACCCAAACCAGGAAGTCGCTTCCGTGTAAAAACGGGGATTGTTTAGAGCAGGCTCAACTGCTGCCACATATATTTCAACGAATATATGCTTTCTTGTCTCTAATTTGTATAACATACACCCTAAGACCTCTGCAGCATGCGTTTGTTACCAAACAAGTTGTGCAATCACTGTTGCTCCGAGATGATAGATCTCGCGAGATGTTACTTGTTTTGATAAAGAAAAAAATAATTCTTCATATGCAACATTCTTTATCTTTTCAACAAATTGAAATAGCTTTAAAATAAATTAAGTTTGTATTTTTAAGCAGTTTTCCCTTTCTTTTTTTTTTTTTGTTTTTTTGCAGAAACGGCAAATTATGGTTGCATCTAAATCAGATGCATTATGGGATATGTAGGAAATGAATGCGCAAAGTTAACTTTTTTAATTTGCTTTCTTTACAACGATGCATTCAAACCAACAAAACAAATCATACAGGATTCAAACAAAATCATGTAAAAAATTATAATTATTACAAAAAAAGAAAAAAATGCCTTTGTGTATTTTTAGTTAAGGTATAAATTATGACCGGAAAAATATTTCCACCACATACTAGCAAGTTAGGTGAAATACACAACTAAATATCAGTATATTCAAGTAAGAAATTAAACTTTATTTTAACATGAACAAATTCAAGCAAATAATACTGTACAAGATAAAAATATGGTACTTTTGGCAGTTCATCAGCATCATTTGTATCTCGCTCCTGATCACAAGTTTGTTCTTCATTCTTCACTGTAGTGCATTCATCATGGCCTGCGCTTGTTTGAGCTCTGTGAAGCAGACACCACATTATTATGGCAATCAATAAAGAAAATTTAAAAGAAAGAAAAAATGACCAGCAAAAAAAAGGGATAAAAAAAATACTAACCAGTAAGCAAAACTCTGAACTTATCCGGAGAAACTGAGACTACGGTTGTGTCAGAGGAGCCTGCCTCTGCTCCTTGTGTCTGCAGCTTAAGATGTACCAGGGGTTCATTTACTTCTCTCAGTTCACTGGAGCTGAGAGTGTAATCTACACGCCAGGAAACTGAGTCGAGTCTTCTCACTGCAGTTCATTACAGGGCAAATTGCACACCTCAGTGAATGCTCAGTCAGCATCTTCAAAGCAGACAGCAGTCGTCATCAAAAACCTTCTATTTAATTAAGAAGGGAGGCTGACATAAAGACTTACATCTCAAGCTGGTGTCTCTTAGTTTATCTTGAAGAGCAGAATGCTTGTCTTCATAGGACTTACAAAGCCCTGTGGCATGTTCTATTGAAATGAAAAAAATTAATAAATAGATTTAAGAAACAGATGCATTTTTATGACACAAATCTAAAAACCCTAATGACCTTAGCAATTGAGGAAAAACAAGAATATTGAATCATAAAATAACGTCTTAATGGACCACAAAAACTGATGCAGTCCAACAGAAAATCAATGCCAAGCACAAACCTTTAGGCAAGCCAAGTTGCTGCAGCTCACTGGACAAAGACTCACTATCAACATCATGTTTTGCAGCACTGGACAAAATAAAGCTGAGCACTGCCACAGTCGCTTTGATGTCTCCACTTTCTAAAACAACAAAAAACAAAAAGCAAGATCATAAATGCTAAATGATCATTCAACATTAAATGAACATAATCCAGAGCAAAAGTTTTGCATTCATTACATCAAGCATGTTACAGAGCAATAACAGGAGAAATAACATGCAACCTGATAACAGTTTTAAATGTATCGAGGGGACACATACCAAACTTTGCATCTGCAGTCAGCTTTCCAACTTTGTCATACTGCAATAAGACAGACGACACATAGAACTGTTAAGTCCGATGTATATTATATATTTAAATGATTCTGAGTGAGCGTGTCTAACATCTTACATCTATCCCCTCGCCCAGTAAATCCTTCAACACTTGAGCACAAAGGAGTTTCATCTTCACACTCGACTGTATAAAAGTGGAGTAGAAAATTAGCATTTTATGTTACATTTTCTGAGGAGTCCTGAGCAACTACTTAGCTACTTACAATCTTTGCTAATGTGCTTATTTCGGCCAGAACCCAATCTGGGCAGTCCAAATCCCCACAGAATCGGAACCGCTGCAGAACACAGACAGCCGAATGAGTTGTTCAGCAACAAACAAGATTTACTTACTGTGACAACAGCAGGTTTGTGTCACGGGATGCTATTGTTATTAGCTTAGCATGCTAGCTACATGAACGCTATCTTAAATGGCGACTCTGCTCAGTTGACTTGATTAGCATTAAAACAGCTGAAAGACATGCAGCGCCATGTTTTCTGCTAATTTTACTAAATCATAGATAGAAACCTTTGTGTAAAAATAACAATTATCATGAATGGGTTATTACCATTTGAGTAGCTCACTGGACGGAAGTTCGTTTCTGGTCGGACAGTGACGTTTCAATATGTGACAGTTTGATTCTTCCACCGGACGTTTTGGCACCACCCCATATACTCTAACGTGAGGAAATAAAGTAAATAAATAAAATAAAAAAGGTTGAAATAATTTTTTGGTGACTGTCATTGTATTACGGTGAAGTGTGACGTGTAAGAAGATGTCTAATGAAGTTTAGATATCTGAATAAGTTAAAATGATTGGCTGATTTACCTTTTGCGTTAACAAGGTAGACATTTAAAATGGTTTTAGAATGTTTTCATTCTTTTCTCAAAAATACTCTTGGGCATGCGTATAATCAACTTTATGGCATAATACCAAAAAAACAACAACAACAACAAAAAAAAAAAAAACAGTTTTTAGTTTTGCCAATGTTCTGTTTGTTAGGAGGGGTTGAATCTCAAACCAGTGCTGGAGCAACTAACTCCATTTGGTTGTCCAGTAGGAATGTTTCATGGTTCTTAATCATCTGCTTTCAGGAAGCTCTCTTATAATATTATATTCATTGATCGCAAACCAAATGGAATGTGGAAAACTGTGCAGCACAGCATTCTGTCAAATGTATTACAGCGATAATATGAAATTTAAAAAAAATGCATACAAAAACAAACAGTTTATGAAATTATTCCAAAATTTAGAATCACAAAGACCAGAAAAGGCATTTTAAACAGCAAGAAACCCTAAGTGTAATTTGATACTTTTACAGGCTTCAAGATGAGTTTCCTTTGGTAATGGATCTTTGACCACTTCATTGCAGGAAATATTTTAATAACTCATTATTTTTTTAAAGAGCAAGTCTTTTAAAATTCTTTGTTTTCCAGAAAGCATTTTGAAGAGCTATGCCAAAAGGTCTATGGCATGCCATGATTTAATGAAGTAATTTTGAAGTAATTTATTTAATAGGGCTAGGATTTACCTGCGCATTAAAGTTGAAGGGTGGGGCAGTGGGCGGGGCTAACTCTGAGCGCTTCTGACCCTGTTGCTGAGAATCCAAGATATAAACAGACAAAATGGCGGTCTACCTGGTTGTTGCTCCCCTCCGCAAGAACGTGATGATAAGGAGCTTTGTCATCAAGAGGATGCTTTGAGCAGAGATGCTGCTCTTCTGCATCAAAATAAATCACATGAGGTAGTTTGGATATGCTTTCCACTAGAGATTTTAATGGCTGGCTGGCTGGCTGGCTGGCTGGCTGGCTGGATGGCTGGATGGATGGATGGAAAGACTGACTGACTCTTTGATTTTTTCACCTGTAGGTCAACTCTGGAACTCTGACCTTCAATTGTATCCTTCTCTGAATGGATAAATATTTCGTTCCTTACTTACGTTGTAAATTATCAGCTTTTAACAATGGCTTAACTGTAAATGAATCAATGTTGACAAAAGTTTAAAAAAAAATTTTAAATCCTGATAAACTGTAACCGCCTTACTTCCAGACACGTTGTTTGTTATTCTCATTGATCTTTATAATGTATATTTATTTTATGCTTTCCTTTAAGTTAACCTCATTATAGAATTAAGAATGTTTCTTGTATTGTTAATTTACTCTGATTCCTTTCTCAGAAGGCCTCACTGACAGAGAGCAGAAAAACAAAATCTTCCTGCAGGTTTACCTCTTGGTGAAGAGCTCTGCTTTCGGTTGAGTTGCTGGCCTCCAATAAAACCATCATTGATCACTACATATTATTAATCTTTGTGCCTGGAAGGAGATTATCTAGTGCAGAATGATTGTGTGTTAGTTAGTAAATAACATTTGACGCTGTAGTTGTTTGATGAGTTGTTCCCCCTCCCTTTAGAGCTGCAGCATCCTTGTGATTAGGGATCCTAGAAACAATAAAATAGAGGAGCAGACAAAATATGCTTCAGAGCGGTAGGAGATTGTAACTGAAGCACATCTCTGTCCGTTCTCCTCGCGAGTGAAAAAGAATCTAACTCTTTTGTCTTTTCTGTCTTTGTTAATGTATGTTTAACAGGTGTTAACCCTAACACACGTTACAAGCATTGAGCTTAGTCCTGCTGACTTGACTGTCAGATTTCATGTATCACATTAGCTGAAAATGTCTCACACTTTTTAATTATATTTTTAACATGAAACTCACATTTAAAATAATTTAGATTCTAACTTCGACCTGAATTGTAAGTTGTTTATTACAACCACTGTTTCAGTTCAATTTCTGAGAGCCTTATTTCTTCAAAACACGAGAAATAAACTATAGTTTACACATGCAATTCCTCCACTATCACAGCATGTTCATTTTCTCACCACATACACATAAATTCCCAGAAAACAGAAAAAAAAACGTTTATAATTTCTTTTCTTTTTTTTAAATAGTCACGAATTAAATAGGTTATTACTGTACCAATCTGAACATTTCACAATAGAGTCATACTCAATATCTTAACATCCATATCTTTGTTTGATTCAATATTTTATGAACAATTCATAAAGAATTTGCCTCTGAATATCTCATATCTCTTCTTGTGTAAATATTCTTGTGTGGCTCAAGGTCAGTAGAGTAGTCCGACGAAGACGGCGTGATGCATGATTCAGATGGTTCCTTAAATGAAATCTCAAAGTACTTCAACCTTTTTTTAGTGACAAATCACAAGACTGGATACAAAAGTCTGTCGAAATGTAGATGTGTTCAAACCTGGAAGGATGTAATAACAGATCTTTTACTGTTCTTTTTGCCATTATATTTTTAAGTAAAAGAAAAAAGATGATAAACTGATATGAGAAATACCACAAGTTCATAAAACGAATAGGAAAAATGGATCTTAGCTCCCTTTACTCCAAAAAAAATATTGTTGAAATGATTTTACACAACTTTAAAAATTATGCAGCTTCATGTTATTAAAGCTAAAGTTTAATCAGTAATACTTTCATAAAAAAAAATTATAGATCATGACTTCGTTATGACAACTAGACATTCACCAAGGAATCATGATACTATCAGATGAATATTTTGATGTTTTTGTTTGCCCCTCTTTTCAGAGGCCCGCCGCCCAATCACAGCCCGTTAAAAGGATGACAGCGTAACGTGCCAATAACTGAGACATCCTCTCCTGCTTCTCCCTGCTGTTTACAAGCGCTTGCGGTGGCGGGACGGAGGCTGTGTAATTTGAAAACACAAAAAATGGTTGTAAATTCAAAGACTGGCGAGCTTAACCATTTCTGTCCTCACCCATAGCTGAACTGGGCGAAATGAAGCATTGCGTTCATATTTATCTTTGTTTCGCGGTGCATTTCAAGATGGTTTTGTCGAAGGACGCGCCGGCTCTTGGTTCTAAAAATAGTCCTCGGCTTTTGAAACCAGGTAAGATATTTCCAAACCATCATTTACGCTTTTAAAACCCTGAATTTTTCGACGGAAAAAATTCAATTTGTGCGCCTCCAGTGAACCAGTGCAGTATTTAGGACACCGCTCATCTTGCTCATGTTTCCTGCGTTATGGTCTATTCCTGCGCATTGTGAATAAAGAGGTTTCTTGTCTGTTTCCCGCAGGTATTTTCAGTGATCAGTACAAATATGATGTTAATCAGAACCATAGTGTCTTCTCGTACCGAGAGGAAGAACAGGAGCTTTACGTGGGAGGCACAGATTTTATTATAAAATTTAATGCAAGTAACTATCGCGTCATAGAGGTGAGTTATTTTTATTTGTGTGTGTGCTTAACGTTTTTAATTTTTACTTAATCACCTGCCGTCTTAATATGCATTAGCGCCACCAAAGGGCGATCAAGGAGGTCAACCCTTTGTTTGCCACCCTGCTCTGGGGCCAGAGTCTGATCTAAAATATTTAATCATGAATTAAAGACAGGACAAAGTTTCAATGGATTGCAACGTTTTGGCAAAATTCTATCAATACCTTTAAATACTTTTTTGTGTTCTATTTAATGGCTGTTTTAATGCCCTGGCCTCACCCATAGTCATGTCTTTGCCAGCTTTGCCAGACCTATTTTATTTTATGTATGACAAAAATCCAGTTTAAAAGATTACAAGAAAGTTTGACTGCTTTGAAAGGAAACATATAGGAATTAGAAAAAAGTAGATGAGGATGGGGGGCTGCACAGTGGCGCAGTTGGTAGCACTGTTGCAAGGTCCTGGGTTCGATTCCCGGCCTGGTGTCTTTCTGCACGGAGTTTGCATGTTCTCCCTGTGGGTGGGTTGTCCGGCTTCCTCCCACAGTCCAAAAACGTGACTGTTAGATTAATTGTGTGTTTGTGTGTGCGTGGTTGTTTGTCTCTGTGTTGCCCTGCGACAGACTGGCAACCTGTCCAGGGTGACCCCGCCTCTCATCCAGATCACAGCTGGAGATAGGCACCAGCAACTCTCGACCCCGTTGGGGAGAAGGGTGATCAGTCATCTTCATGGATAGATGACTTAAAAACTGCTTCGAATCCTTTTACTGTTCCATATTTGTGTGCCACACATTTATTTAGACCGGCATGATGTGAAATATATTTTCCGGTTAATAATGTAATGCGCAGCAGTGTTCAGTCTATCCGCCACCAGGCAGCAGCTCCGGAAGGAAGAATAGCTCCCGAACCCCATGCATCTCGCCAGTCATTTTAAGGATGTTTATTGATTACCCGGACATTATCACCAAGCAATAAAATCCTCAGGCTGAACTTGAAAGCTTCGGCTTCATGCTATTAACTCTTAGCTTTCGTCAACAACTCAGGGGGAAGTGAGAGCTCTGTGCAACGCAAGTAATAACCTGGTCGTTACATGGAGCATTAAATAATACAATATAAGTTAAAGCATGGAGGCAGATACATTTTTCTTGAGGAATTTTAATAATCGAGGTACTCGAATCACTCGAGTAATCGTTTCATCCCTACTCTCAGGGGCAGGATTTATGTCTGCACTGTTTCTTAAAAGAGGAAGATTCTCATTCTTGACACATTTTAGGTGCTATAATAAGAAATAGCCTGCTCAGATGGCGTGTGTGTGTTTTTTTTTATCACTTCCTCATCAATTTTCGCACTTTTATGATGAATAGGTTTTGACCTCATATACATTCTTTTTAGCTTGTGTTGCATTTTGAGTGACAAGTTATTGAATAGAACTTGGAATGTTTTTGATTTTTTTGCAGACATACAAAACACAACAAAACACCTTTCTACCTGTTTTTTATGTTCTTGGCAGAAATTTCCAATAACAACAACTGGACAGCATAAGTGCTCTGACGTGAGTTACTCCTACAGAAATATAAATAAGCTAAATTCAAACAAAACACACCATCTCAGTTTTGTTTAACATAGTCCTGTGTGTTTTAGGGTCAGTGTAAAAATGTAATCACCATCATTGAGAAGTTTGGGGGCTACACGTTTGCGTGTGGAACAAACGGACACAAACCAAAGTGCTGGAAACTCGTAAGTGTCTACATCCACATGTAAACAACAAGGCAAAGCTGATTACAGTGGGGGAGCTGCTCTTGTTGTTTAACTTTATCTCCTTGATGTATAATTAAGTGGGGCATTGGGTGTCTGGTGTCCCATTTTTTGCTAACGAAGTTTCCACCACAGCTCTCTTGAAGTGTTTTTTTTTTTTGTGTGTGTGTGTGTGTGTTTTTTTTCTGTGCAGTCTCCTTCTGTGAAGAATCAGACCTATGAGAGTTATGAGGGAGCAGGCATCTCCCCATTAGTCTACACACACAACTGTTTGTCGCTCACAGTTGGTATGTTGTGCTATGGACAGATTTTAAAGGTTTTAAACAAGATTCATTGCTGCATGCCATCTTATGTAACCTCATCAAGTTGTGTTTTAAAATAGCCTTAACAAGGTTGCCTTCTCATTGAGCTCTTCTGAATTATTCAGCATTTCTGAATAATGCTGAACATGCGCTGCTGTTTCAGATGGGGATTTATACGCAGCAGCGCCTTTGGACATTGAGGGAAGCTCTTTGCAGTTCAGGAGAAAAGCTGGCAACCGGACTAATGTCTGGATGTACGACAGCTGGTTATCAGGTGAGAATGATAGGGTCTGATGTCAAAGAGGAGCTCACCACTGTGACGTGCAAATAAATAATTTATACACAGCCTTGCAAAACTTAAAATCTATGTCAAATGTGTAAAGTTTAATGATTACTGATGACATGAAAGGATATATTTGCTGAGCTGTGTAATTAGAACAGTCCCAAATCTAATTCTGTTCAACGCTGGAAGTCAAACAGTAATTATCCACTTGTGTGTTATGAAGTAAAATGATTACATAAAAAAAAAGTCTGTGCATATTTAGATTTTTGGTGTACTGTGTTAAGGAAATAAATAAGTCTTACCTAAGGTGAAACACTGAGTCAATCAAGAATGAATCAAAATACATTTTAATTACTATTTTAATAAGAAATTAATAAGATATTAAAAGCAATGCCTTATTGCTCATATTCAATGAGTCATTGCTCATCCAGGGAAGTGAAGAAAAGATGAAGGCTCATTGCTTTTAATATCCACCAGCCTTTTTCCAGAGATGGAAGCAAAAAGGAGTATCCCACCAGTTTGAATTTACTTAACAGTTCTGGTATTTGAACCTGCAGACTGTGACCCTGGGCAGTTCAAACCCAGGTCAGAAATACCCTTTATTATCTGTTTCCACTGATCTGCCTCCAACATGAAGAATGCTTTATGGATACAACTGATTGATTGAAATAGAACAAAGTTTTGTTACTCAAGCATTTAAAAAAATGCAACAGGTGTGCATGAGAAAAGGTCAAAGAGGATTGACTTTTGTACACAAACATCATTAATCTTGGGTTAGAGTCTTTAAGTGAAACTGACCGCATTTGTACAAAATTAGGGACATTCTATGCTGAACTGTTCGCATTAAAGAAAAGGAATTTGAAAATGGTAAATTGGTAATATTTTCCTTTTGCTTTGGTTAACTTAGCTTTATCTTGTGCTTCCCACATATGTTTGGCTTTGCTTTGCTGTGGTATGTCTTGTTTTTGTGGCTGTTATGCCAATAAAAACGTTATCTGGTTTCTTTAAACAAAACATCGTCTTGCAGAGCCTACATTCATATCGGCATCCTGGGTGAAGCGTTGGGAAGATCCAGACAATGAGAAAATCTACATCTTCTTCCGTGAAAAGAACTCCGACCACAGCCCAGATGCCGATCCCTGGATTTCTAGGGTAGCCAGAGTTTGCAAGGTACAATGCACACTGCATACAGCTGAACTTACAAATATGACTTCTACCTAGCCAGTTGAAAGCTTCTGTTTCAGTGCCATGTTGTCCTTGCAGTTCAAACACAACCAAATAATGTCAACACTGTGACAACTATAGAATTGACACTTTTCAAACTGTTCATGAGCTGTGTGAAAATGACTGTTATTATTTCAGAGAGCAGAAAGTTTTTTAAAACTGACAGATTTTAATGTACTGACTGAACACAGCCTGAACACAAAAAGCTAATTGCTCAAAGTTTTGCATTGATGCTTTAAAATGGTGGAGAAGGTGAGCCATGAATGAAGTCCTACTGTTTCCAATGAAGCAGCAGATTGTGAATGTTGACCTTCTATCAGCTGCTAAAGGTTAGTTTGCATTTCAGTGAAAGAAATGTTCACTTTGGTCAGATTAACTCAATTTTTGCGACAAATAAATTGCAGACACATTAACAAAGATCAAAGATACAGTTGTAGCATGACTTGCCAGTAACAAAAAACAAAAACATGCCCAGTACACTAAAGTATTCATCTGTGCAAATGTATAAAGTGGCATGAAATATTGTTTTCAGTTTGTTTTTTCTAAAGAAGTTTGTGTATATGTAATGAGTCCCATTTATTCTGATGGATTCTTCTTTTCACTATAACTCCTTCTGTCCTGTAATGTTTGTTTGAGAACATTAAATGATTAAAAAGCATCTTCATATCCAAGGATCACAGCAAGCAAGTGCAAAGAAACTGAAAGTAGGGTTAGGTTATGAAATAATATCGTACCAAAATGGAAACAGCATAGCATTACTGCAAGCCTGGCATGTTCTTCCATCAAACTGACAGAGAAAGTAAATCAGAGAAGCTAATTTGTTGAAAACTGTGCATTGGTTGGCCAAATGAGATCAAAACTCAACTTTTAGGGTTACATGGAAAATACTTAGTGCAGAGAAAAAATACTCCAAAACACTTGAGACTGGGTTATGGTTCACCTTAACGCAATTGAAAATCTGTGGCAGGGTTTGAAAAATCCATTTTACATCTAATCTGACTTGGCAGAAATAGCGTTTCGCTCTATAGATGTACAAAGCTCGTCGAGACATAACCCAAAAGAGTTGCAGAAAGTCAATCTGACTTCATGTTGATGCAAAACTTAAGTTTTTATTTTGTAAGCAAAAAATGAAAACAGTGTTTAATGTGTTTCTGGTCTATTTTAGGTATTGTATACTTTGCATTGGTCTATCATAAAAAACATATTAAGTTGAGGGGTGTGAATACTTTTGCGAGACACTATGTTACATTTTCAATAACATTTATATTGTACTTTCCAAATTGTATTGTATATTTTCACTTCAGTCTTTCTGAGCGTTGTGAACAGTTTGAGTAAAACAGAACCTGCATGTTAAATGACAACGGTCAGCATGTTTGCTGTTGATATTACCCTTCAACAGGGAACAGTGGAAACACAGCTTCTGTTTGCTGGGTAATAAGTAGTGCTGATAGTTTCTGTCCTGGATTGGATCTTAAGCTAAAATAAAAACAGAAAGGGAACTAAAACACTGGTGCTAAGGTTTTCTGAGCAAGATGTTAAGACTACCAAGAACATTTTATAAACAAAAAAAAAGTATTCCATAATTGGAACACTTTTTTTGCAGGATGTGTTTATTTGTTAGAAAACAAGTGATCAGGTCCGAAATCTTGGTGTTCCATAAAACTTCAAAGCAGGTGAAACGCTGAAATCCTTTAATTCTAGATTTAAAACTCACTGCAGAGATGCTTCTGAACCATAAAATATGAGACACTGACCAATATTTTGATGTTGACTGCGTGTTCAATGACTTGGTATTGTGTTTTTATTACATAAAGTAGTTTGAACTGCTTTGTTGCTGAAATGTGCTCTATAAAGAAACTTGGCTGATTGTTTTATTGATTTTTACTTTCTTTGCCATAAGCCAAATTGCAGCTTCCTAAATGAATTTACTTGATCGAATGTTACTGCTGTGTGCAAGTAATAACATCCATGCTAAGAAAAACCTTGAAGAGTTCTTGCTCTTTATTTCATCTCTAAAGTTGGTGTAGCCTCAGATATTTAACTCTAAAAAGAAAACTGATTCTCTTCCTAAAAAAAGTCTTTTGACATGATTTTTTTTAGACCGATGAAGGTGGATCAAAAAGATTCTTCCAGAACATGTGGACGTCCTTCCTAAAGGCTCGCCTCGTCTGTGGATTTTCTGATGAGTCGTTGTATTTCAATCGCCTCCAGGACATCTATGTGATGCACGCCGATGACTGGCACCAAACCAGAGTCTACGCACTTTTCACAAGCAGCTGGTGCAACACTTTTTCTTCCTTTTTTAATGTTAGAAACTAAGCAACATACTGTAAGCATAAGAAGCAGTATCGAAACATAAGAGGTTGCATCTTATTTTTATTTATTGCTTGAACATCAAATTTGATATTACCAAAGCTCTAATAACAATGGAACAATGGAACTACCTTCGCCACAGCAGGAAACATTTGATTAACTGCTGAAACTGTGATGGCATGAATGTATTATGACCTCTATTATCATTTCTGTTTCAGGAACTCAACTGCGGTTTGCATCTATTCAATAGAAATGATAGAGAAGATATTTGAAAACTCAACTTTCAAAGGCTATGCTAATGAAATCCCTACACCACGGCCTGGAACTGTAAGAATCTATTTTCTTATTTCCTCTAAGGGTTTTATTTTTGCCTGTGCAAGTTTGAGTTTAGGCATTCTCAAAAGACTATTTAAAAAAGGCATGTTGCACAAATGGGTGTCGCTATAACCCATTTGTGGAAGCTATGTCAGATTTTCCTCACCATGTTCATGTTTTCCATGTATTTGTTGTGGATATTGTGGGTTACATCATGATCTCCACTTGCTGTGGAGACCAAGTGATGTACATGGGGAAAATTTCTTGCCTTTGTAGCCAGAGTATACTCCCCATGTCTTATGTTTCTCAACAACTTCACCCACCCAAGGAAAGTTTATAGCAGACAAGTCTGTTTGTCTTCCTATTCTATGCCAATAAGGTTTCCAACTCAAGTGATATTGTTGCTAAAACTTTGAAGTGGTTGGCGTGTTATGTCTATGTACATTAGGTGAGAGAATTTTCTCCACTTTTCCTCTCATTTGGTTTTGCTTTTTGTGATCCAAGTAATTTTGTTGCCTTTTTGTAAATGTTGTCTTTTTGAGTAAACTTTTACATGATTGTGTTTTGTAGTGCGTGTCAAACAGCAAAAACCTGCCGCGGGCCACAGTGAACGTAGTGAAGGATCATCCTGAAATGGTTGATTGGGTGCATTCCTTTCAATCAAAAGCTCCTTTTTATGTAAGCAATTATAATTACACCAAAATAGTTGTCGACCGGGTTCAAGGAGCAGACCAGCAAGTGTACAACGTTTTGCTCCTTGCTACTGGTAAGCCATGATTGCTTTGTGTTGATTTGTCTTTTCTTGACCAGGAATTACGCATTGTTTACAGTCTTTGCTGGGAAACAATGGGCTAAAATGTATCAGTCCTAGAATGACAACACTGTAATGGTTGTTCCAACAGATACTGGCAAAATCCATAAAGTCCTAGAGGCTGGTTCAGAGCCTTTTATCATATTGGAAACACAGATCTCCAAGAATTCATCTATACAAGCAATGACGCTCAACTCTCAAAAGGTACAGTTAGGTTGCATTTTACTCAGTATTCTTTGTAATGTGTTTAATTGTTTAACATTTTGAAAAGAAAGGGCAATGTGTAAAATACAACTTGAAATGTGTTTCTTCATGGAGCTTTTGTTGGTTGTACAGAAATGACCCATTTTCATCTGCGATGGTGGGTTTTTTATAGTCCTTGACCTCTGTTTTTGATTAGTCCCAGCTCTCTTATCTGCTACACCTGGCAGCTGTTTCCAAAGAACCCCTATGAGGCCTTTGTTATCCACTGATACACAAAGACACAAACAAAGCTTTGCTTTGAGAATTGTGAACAGTTGCTTTGTTGTTAGACAAAAGTTCATTTCTTGCCTTTTGTTTATTCATTAAAGCAGTTTCAGATATTATGAAACTGAGAAGAGAGAAACAATAGAGCTACACTCGGAAGACAATTCCAAGGCTTTGTGAGCCTAAACAAAACTCAAAGGCAACCAGACTATGAGTCGACTGTGTGACACATTTATAAGAAATACCTTTTTTTATATTTCTCAGAAAAAGTTAGTGGTGGGATTCTCTGATAAAATATCTACAGTGGACCTTCAAAAGTGCGAAGAGTACAACACGTCTTGTGCTGACTGTGTCCTGGCACGGGACCCCTACTGTGCATGGACCACATCTGGATGCTCCCCTTCTAGCCTGTAAGTATGAGCCTTATTCCTCACTACTCACATATCCAATAATAGTCCAAAATGTCCAATCAGTTCTAATCAGACAGGTCTACAAGAGCCAATGTTTGGATTGATGGGGTCTTGTTTCCCACAGACTTCATTAAGTTTAATCAAAAGTACTCATCAGAGTTGTTTGAAGTCTTAGTAAACACCTTGGACTCTGTATCTGTGATCAAAAATCAAGTGAAACAAAACAAAACATTGCTTCATTCCTTTGGTAAAGAAAAGAAGTATTGATGTACATGATCTTATATTTACATAAAAGATATGTATTATGGTACACTAATTGTAATGATTAGTGTATCATTAACATTAATGATCACTAATTTTAGAACTCAGAAAAATTAAACTGTTGAAGTACCTTTTTAATAACATCCCCCTTTAAAAGAAACTTGCTTAATTGATGCAATGTATGGAAATAGAAACAACCTTTTAAAGCCTTTTGTAATTTTTTTTACAGTGGGGGCATTCAGAATATAAAGGATGGACATACAAGTGTTTGCTCACAAAACAAAGCAGCAAATGGTACGTTACAAAATGCTGCATGCTGTACCTTAGCAACTTTGTCATATCTTTACTGAGCTGCCTTTTCTTTTGTTTTTTCAGTGTTAGGGGTACTGACCAGGTCCAAAAGGCAGATATATTCACCAAAGATTTCAGGGACAGTCCATTCAGTCCCTGAAGGTGTCCCTTTCTATCTGTCCTGTCCTATAGAGTCTTATCACGCAAAGTACACCTGGAAACATGGAAGTAACAACAGACCTTGCCTGCAAATGCTTTCTAACTGTCTGCACCTTATTCCTTCAATGGGACCAGAGAACTATGGGGAATATGAATGCATCTCCACAGAAAAGGACTACAACAAAACTTTGAAAAAATACCATCTTAAGCAGCAGCATGAAAATCAAGACAGTAGGTTTGCTGACTCTAAACTGAATGATGCACCAATCCTTGCTCCTCAGCTGTTGTTTATTCTACTCCAGACTTCAGTGCTTTGGGAAATTCTAAGATAGTGTTTGCTAACTGACTTGGATTTAATAACAGTGTTCCCCAAACATATAACTGAACTGAAATTAGGGACTGTCAAGATACATTGGCGGTGTAACTTAAACATAATGTCTTTTGACAGTTGTAACATCAAATTAATCTAAACTAACTATCAATCACTGTTATGGGACTCTGCTGTGCCAGGCATATCATTCTATCTTCCATCTTGGCAGTGTTTACTAAACAGTTCTCACAGGATAAAGAGAGGGTTTCTTTGTGTCTTAATACTAGGAGAATGGAAAGCTTGATAAGTAGATGGAGAAGGGTTTAATTTGAAGTAATGTGCTGATGGAAGAGCATAGTTAAAAGGCAAAGGAAATGCTTTTCTGGCCCACCTATCCTTTGTACACGCAGTCGTGCGCATGCGGACTAGCCACGCTAAACTCTAAAATTAGTCAACTTTTGTCGCTATCAGGTATAGGGAAAACTGATGCTTTTAGCTCCCTGTGTGTTTAGCCTGTACGAAGGAAACAAGAGTGGAGGAGGAGTGAAACAACAAAAAACAAACGAGCAATATTATCACCCTTATTTTATTGTCAAGCTCATTTTAATTCATCATCCGATTAATTAAGCTGTCACCATTGGTCTCATATGGATCCTGACAAAAATAATTAGATTTCTGATCAAGTGTCTGACATTAGCTTCCTCTGAAGTGTGGATTGACTCAACCTTAGAGACAAGGACTTCTCCCAACATCTGGGAGAACTCAGGGTTTGGACTCGCCTCCTCCGCCTCAGAATGAATCAGCTTAGGACGGTGATTCAGACGTCTGGGCAGGAGAGGCCTTGGCCTCTCCTTGGAGGTTTTCCATGCACAGACGTAGCTATGAGGCAGAACCAGAACTCTTTGAAGGAACTAAATATCCCTGGAATGCCTGGGGATTCTACCTGGATTTGCTACCTCTTTGACACAAAGGGCAGTAGATGAATGGATGATGTTACACATTTGCTTAAACACGTAAAATGTTTTTGTTTTCTTCAAAAAAGGCAAATACTAATTAATAGGTTTTCTTTCTTTCGCACATTGTAAGGTCAAAGCCTTAGAATAACCTTTAATAATGAAAAACCCACACCCATTCTTGTAAATCTGATTTGGGTCAATGCTCGAATAGCAAATGAAGAATATCTTGAGTTGGGTATCCGTTGTAAGGTCTTTGAGAATTAACTGCTAACCAAAGTACACACAGGCAAAATTGGACAAGTAATAGTCTTGGGTCAAACAGGATGAAAGTTGGCAACATTACTGCTTGGCAATGAGACAAAATTGGATAGAAAATACTGAAATGGCTTTAGTATGTACATGTAAAGGATATTTGATCTTTTAGGCTAATCATTGATCAGAGTTGCAAGGTAGGAGGAAAAGAACCCAGCACAGATGAATCATGGATGTTGTGAATGTGGAAAAGCTTGAGATAGCGGGAGCTGCTGAAAGAAAAACATACCTTACAGCGTTTTATGTTTAAATTGTCAGCCATTTTGTTGGTTCTGCACTTGTTTTGTGGGTGAGGTTGGAAAATAATATGTACATTTCAGACCCTACAAAGCAGCGAAACAAGTAAGCCATTCTCCTTCCTGCTGAGGTGTTTCCACCCTTATTGACTCAGACAGTGCTGAGCTCAGTAGAACTGGAGCCCCCGCAGCAAAGGCTTTTTTTTTTTGCTTACTTTGAGCTGGAACATGTGGTGATGGAAGAAGAATACAGCACACCCAGTCATTATTTTATTGAAGTGAGAGAAATGAAAGGAAGTTCCAGAACAGAATCTTTTCACTGTGAGCATTAGCTGTAGAAACAACACAAGTTGGAATAGTTCTTTTGCACTTTTAGGTCATTTGTACCATTAAAGCAAATAAAATATGAAGTTCCCATGCTAACAAAGGCAGAGCTCTTCCTGAGCAAGGCTCTTTCCTTGGTACGGAGAGGAGTATATCTGCATTAGATAGTTTGGGTGGATTAAGTGAAGTAAAGTTACTTAACTTCCTTTCATAATTCCTTTCAGTGGTCAGTGAGAAATATGCAGTCAGGAGAGAAAATAAAATAAGCTGTAGGTCACATGAAGTGCATCTTTAACTGAAAGTCGCTTTTCCATAGCAATAACCTAAAATTGCACTACATTAGTGTCATTTAAAATTATATTCTATATTTTTCTTACATTTTCCATTTAAAAAATGCAATACAATGTTAAACAACTGAAGCTCTGGGAAAACTATAAATTTGTAAACAAAATCTTCAGAGCAAATGCATGCTCAGGATAACACCGGAAAAAGAAGTTGTACAACAGATAATGACTGGAAAAAACAAAGGAAATGATCATTGACATGAAGAGGTTGTCTTCCTGTCAATTGTGGACCTGAGTCCACAATTCTTGGCATCATCTCCTCCGGCAGCAATATGGCAGATGAGAATCCTCTGTCGAAAAAAGTGAAGGAAGCTAAAAAGATTGCTTTAGTGTCTACGATCGTTTTGCAGCAACAATATTTTATGGCATACTGAAAGTGTGAAAAATGCTTTTGTCTTTTACTCAGGAATGTGATTAAAAAAGCAGATAAAACGTAACAGCATGTTTGACTTCCACAGGTCAAAATCATAGAGATTCCTCCCACCATCTCTGATTTTTTTTAAACTGCTGCCAGACAAACGGTAGCACAGCATCAAAAACAGAAACCCCCTGACTGCTGCATAGTTTTTTTGCCTCTAGTTGTTAAAAGTCTGGACTTTCGTTTTGATTAAGCACTTTACGATTCCATTTATTTTAATCTCTTCTATCTGCTTTGTTTCTATCTTTGTTCTGTTTGTATTTGATTATTTTCATAGTGTTCCTTGATAATTTATCACAATTGTCATCTAAGCTAACCTCAGTGAGAAATATGTTGGTGTGAACTCCCTCAGCCAGAGAAATGTATGCATGGGAACACTGGTCACATCTGGCTGACCGTCCAGACTTGGGTCAGCATGAAAATTATAGACCAAGTTTACCATAGAAATAAACTGACTTGATTTTGGTTCCTCAAACATTCAAGAATGCATTAACCTGTTTGAAAATGTCACATTCCAAAGAGAATATTGTTAACTTGTAGATCATTGGTGACCCAAAAAACATTCATAAATTGGCATCATGAATGGCTCTCTCAGCAGAATATTAATATATTTTTGTCCGAGCTAGGTTGTTGATGTATGTGGCCTTAAAAAAAATCTTTACTAACCAGGTTTAATAAAACATAACTTATGAAATGTGGCCGTCTGGTGCTTTCAATGTGTTCATTTTCTGTAGATTCACATCTTTTTAATTTGTGAGATTCATTCCTCTTTCCCCAGGTCCCCAATATTAACCATTCATTCTGGTTTATGTCTTCAAACCACTCAAGATCAAGAGAATCTTAAAAGTGTTGCACTTTTAGAGATCCATGACAGCTGTCTCGTCATCACAAATTGTATATCATATCCTTCCTTCTGGACTTTTTTTCTGCTTTCTAGAGCAGAGAAAATGCTTTCTTTCTTGTTGCCTAATATCTCCCATAAACTGCAAGACGCTGGTCAGTTCTGTTTCAGTCCAGGTATCTTATGGCATATTAAAAGTGTGAAAAATGCTTTTGTCTTTTACTCAGGAACGTGATTAAAAAGGCAGATAAAACATAACATAGTATGTTTGACTTCCACTGGTCAAAATCACAATTTATGCCAAAAATCACAAGTGTGTGATGCAACATGGGTATTATTCTAGTGCACCCTTTTTGTTGCAACAATTTGATGCCAAAAGCTGTTCTACACCAATTACAACAGCAATATGTCTGTACTAACAGTCCATGTAGCCTTCATCACCAGGCATGACATGCAATGGAGATATCTGCTGCATTTTTATAGAGCCTGGGCTACAAAATAATACCCTTATTTTACTTTCTTTTATGCTAGATATATATATTTTTTAGTTGTTTTTGAGATATAAAATTTTGCCATTGACATGTGTAAAACCATTTCTTATTAAAAAAAATTAAATGCCTTTCAAAAATAACTTATTTCTAGACTTTTCTAAGGCAGGAATGACACTAAAAGTTAATCTGGCTTTCCTGCATCTCTAGGCTAAACACTCTTAATGACAATTAGAAAAATACTTCCTGTTTGCACAGATAACAGCTACAGCTTTCATCTCTGAGAAGTTCCACAAAAGTATCTTAGTGGAACAATTTAAATCCATTCAATTTAAATGGAACCATGAACTACATGCTGATTTTTTTTTTTTTATGAAATCATCACCACCCAAACAAAATCTTGTGCCAACAGATAGCACTCGTTCAAAATAGTAAAGCTATAACTCACCATAAAAGATTCCGGAGGTTTTCAGAAAGGCTTGATACAAAACGCTGTTGATATGTCTGCAGTCATATCAGATGTTTTTATTTTTTCAGGTGGAAATCAGGCATCAGTGCAGACCATTGGGTGTTGTCAGACTTGGGTAACTTTAACAGATGGTGTTTGGCTTTGGTCTTCTAGTAGACATTACAGGGAGGTTGGGATTTCATTTTCTGTGCTGTGGTTTTTGTGAGCAACCAAATCATGAGTCATCCTCTTAAGTCACCCAGAGCAGTTAAAATCACCCCATGTTCTCATTTCATTGACAGTAAAATAACAACCTTGTTAAGATGTCTTCTGCAAGCTTGTGTCTGGCCTTTGTACTGTGCACCTAAGCAGTGCTGATTGGATTTTCCTTTGGCCTATTTAAAGACGCGTTCTCTTTATCTCTGAAGCTCTGAGACGGATCAGTGACACTGTCGTCTATTTTGACAGAAACGGCCAGTATGACCTTCTTTTACCTCCGGTGTTTTCTGATTAGAAGAAAACCTTGAACCTTCTCCAGTTCCATTGTTTTCTGATTAGCATGTGGGATGCAGAAATATCCAGGGTGGAGGCCAAAAACTAAACTTTATATAAAACATGCACAGTGTTTCTTAAAAGCACACACACCCCTGTTGCAAGGCCATGTTTTTGTGAAGTGAGAAAATGAGATCATCATCAAATCATTTTTCAAATTTGTCCTCATATGTTACATTCTAATTATCCTGTACAAAACAAGCCAATTAGTCAGAAGAGGGGAAAAAAGCACAATAAGCCATTACATGAACAGTCGCTTAAACTAACACTGTTGAACCACCTATGCACAATGATACTTGCTTCTTATGGTTTTTCTTAGAAATGTAAAAGAAACGGAATGAAAATAAATAAATAATATTTACAAATGAATAAGTAATACTTAAAATTATATTTAATGGATGCTCATGTAAAAGTTACTTTCAGGACACGTAAATTAATGAGGAAAAATTTTGTTTTAGGTCATCTGTAATTTCTTTTTAACAGGAGAGGGCGCTGTTTGCATGCAAAACTGGCCTTTGTTTTGTTTCCTTTTTCAGGCGCCTCTGATAAAATAGAATCTAACCAAAACGGAGGAATGGATGGATGGAACGAACTGTGTTTGGCCAAAAGACATTTACCAAAATGTATACAAAAATCATGTAAATAAGTTTTCAACATTCACAAACTTATCAAATTTTACCTATCAAAAACCTATTCACCATCTTGCTATTGAATTTATCAAAGAGCAATCTGACCATTGAAGTCTGGTCAGATGGTTATTTACTTTGAAGATTGTGGAGGCTCCTGCTTTAACTCAACAAACTGGGTCAAAGTGTCATGCTTGGAGACATGAGACATGTTAAGAGATGAATCTGAGATTTCAGCAACTCATTATACTATGAAGTGCTGACTCGGGGGACTGGGTAAGAATACACCCTCCTGTTTTCAGATTTTTATTTCAAAATTTTGAAAACTATGAATAATTTTCTTCCACTTTATGATCATATTTTCTGTTTTGGGTTGGTATACAACACCAAAAAAAAAAAAAAAAATACTTTAATGTGACAAAATATGAAGATCAAGGGGAAGAATAAGTTTTTTTTAAGAGAGTGAGAATGTTTAACATTTCTTTATGGTTAAACCTGAGGCGAATCTGCCTTTTCAGTTGTTTGGACTCAATGAAAAAGTTCAGACTGAACACCAGAAGGCGGCAGCATTTAACCAGGAACCAGAGTTGTGTGTACTAATATCTGATTATGTTCATAAAAATAATAATAAAAAAATAAGATCCTAAAATAAAGTGGTATGCTTCGTGGGAAATTGAAAATCTCCCTTTTCAAGAGATCTGCTTGTCCGATTTTTTTTATTGTTTGTTTTTCTCTGCATTTTTTAAGCACAAAATCTATAATACTGCAGCCTTCAACCGTGTCTCCACTTGCAGAACAACTATGGCAAATCATAAAGTGTGTTTACAACGCATTTGACAGACGGAAGGCTGCATCCAGACCGAAAGAGGTCAAAGACTGAGCTGGAGTGCTGGCCATAAATTAAACATACATTTTTAAATGATGAATTCTCTTTGAGGGCGGAGGAGCCCGGAGCTTCTGTGTCTTTAACAGCGGACAGAGCAGAGAGATGGGAGAGGCTGCGCGTTCATGTCCCCATTTCTCGCTCCGCAGCGACGGGAGCGCGCATCGGATTCTTCACTCGCACTGAGAAAGAAAAAAAGCGCCCGACCGACCGCAACAGCGACTGTCCGGGGGTAGAGGAAAAAAAATGTCCCTGCCACCACCCTCCTTCCTCCGCGCTGTCCAGTTCGGCAGAAAATATGTGAAAGGATCTACCACGCGTGCGGATGCCACTTTTTTCCACATTTAAACTTGTAAAATCTAGAGGATTGCGAAACTCCGTATAAAAATAACAGGAATTGAAGTTAACTCTGAGAAGGTAAGACGATTCGATAAATCATCAAGCCAGTTGCTGTAAGTGTTCAGGACGCAAACTGGAGCAGCTTCCATGCATCACAAATTACGTTAACCCGAAAGTTCAAAACGTTTTGCATGCCGATTTAAAAGATAATAATTTGATGAACACTGCTAAGAATAAAATATCTTTGGATCAAAGTAAAAGGGCAAAAGTGGTCTAATCACCAGGGACAGCGCCTTTTCGCCGAGTGCGCAATCAAAAGCGCGCCCAAAGGAGAAAAGACAATTTGACAACGGAGTGTCTGCATGCAACATCGCAGCCTGTAACACAGTTTTGTTCTGCCGTTATTTACTTCAATCAACTAAATTACTGCACTTTGAAAAGATAGAATGCAAAGCAGGACACTTCTTTTCAGATCAAGTCATGCTGTAACATCCGCTGTGTTTTTGTTTGCAGTTGTTAGTAAATACATAATTTTGAAACATGCATTTAAATTATATGAGTAACAAAACTGTAAGTTATTTTATGACGTTTGTCCATTGGTGCCTGCAGGTACAGAAATGGCTCGAAGGCTCCTGCAGCTTCTTGCTTTGTGGACCACTTTGATGGGCATTGTGCAGAGCTGTCCGGAGCTCTGCAGCTGCCAGGATAAATTTGTCCACCAGGTAGCTGACTGTGCCTACAAAGACCTGCTAAAGGTGCCTGTCGGCTTCCCCTTCAACGTTACCACCGTCAGCCTCTCAGCCAACAAGATCACATCGCTGGACAGTAAAAGCTTTATTGGCATCGCTCAGGTCACCTCTCTCTGGCTGTCACACAATGAGATCGTCAGCATACAGACAGGCACCTTGGCCCCCCTGATTCAGCTCCGCAATCTGGACATCAGCAACAATAAGATTGTGAACTTCCCCTGGGGTGATTTGCGGAACCTCACAGCTCTGCAGCTATTGAAAATGAACAACAACGAGATGGTCAACCTTCCAAAGGACGCCTTCTCCACACTCACAGACCTCAGATCCCTGCGCATCAACCATAATAGGTTCACTACCATTGCGGAGGGTACCTTCAGTGCCCTCTCCTCTATGTCCCACCTGCAGATTTACAACAACCCGTTCACTTGCTCCTGCAGCCTAGAGTGGCTGAGAGATTGGATTGAAGCCACAAAGATTTCTGTGCCGGAGCCTAATCAAATCCTGTGCGAGGCCCCTGAACACCTGAAGGGTGTGCAGGTTTCAAAGTTTCCTAAATTGCAATGTGAAATCCCCAATGTCACCATAACCTACCAACCAAACATAGAGAACACTGTTCTTCATGAAGGTGTTTCGGTCTTCTTAAACTGCGAGACAAAAGGAAGTCCCATGCCTCAGGTCAGTTGGGAGGTGATTGCTGGAAATCAATATTACCTCTTCCCCCTGCCATCCACCACAGACGCAAGTGATGCGCCAATAAATGACAAAACAACCAACAATAGATTTCTCATATTCAGGAATGGGACTCTTGCTATCCCTCGCATGACTAAAAAGGAGGATGGTAATTATAGTTGCTCTGCTGTGAACGAGTTAGGTAAAGCACAGAGAAGCGTCAAACTGGCTCTGGCTCCCAGCCTGAAGCAAGGGAGCAATTCAGTCCCTGATTCAACTCTGGATAAGAGCCGTTCATCTGGTAAAAAGCTTTCAGACTCCAAGGTGGCCAAGAACAATGTGATCAACAAGGCTAAGCATGAGGAAAAGACAAAGGAACGCCCAGACGACGGTTCAAATCACAAAACTGGCGGCTCGGAGCAAGCTGGAGGTGTTTACAAGGACCCCAGCTTTGGGAGCAAATGTGGTGTGAGAGAAGGCAGCGAATACATCTCCAATCATGCCTTCAACATGACCCTGGATGACCTCAAGCAGTACACCTTTGATTTTGGTGTCATTGCATTGGAAGTTTCGGAGACAGAGGCCAAAGTACAGCTAAACCCTTTGCAGCTCCCCAGCAGCAAGTCTAACCTCCACCTGAGTCAGGCTGAGAACCAGGAAATGGTCGTCAAAGAGCCCTTTGGTCAGCGGCAGTCTTCTTCCAGCAAGGACACACTGGACATGCTCTACCTCTGTGTAAAAACAGGAAACGGACACTCCCTGGTGCAGTGGTCCAACATAGAGGAGGGGGTAAATGCATATCGTTTCCACGGCTTACAGCCCGGCACCAATTACACTCTCTGCCTCACTTATGGGGGGCAGGACTGCCAGGTCCAAGTAGTCTTCACGACAAGAAAAAAGATCCCCTCCCTGTTAATTATTGTGGTTGTCAGCATTTTCCTATTGGGTCTGGCCACTGTTCCCTTGCTGGGAGCCACCTGCTGCCATTTGATGTACAAGTATCAGGGAAAGACCTACAAGCTGATCATGAAGGCACACAATCCGGATCAGTTGGAGAAGCAGATGACAAGAGATTTTGATCCGAGGGCGTCATTTGTTGAGTCAGAGAAAACCTTCAACCCGAGTGAGGTGGGAGAGGGAGAAGATGAGGAGGAGGCCGAGGGGGACCGAGAGGGAGAGGAAGGAGACGGCGACAGGGATGGTGATGCTGAGGGGAGCGTGGTGACGGAGTCCATCCCCGGATCCTCATCGAAAACCAACCCGGAGGAGTTCGAGGTCGGCTCCGAGTACAGCGACAGGTTACCGCTCGGAGCGGAGGCCGTCACGATCTCGGAGGAAATTAACGGAAACTACAAGCAGCCCAGCCGCTGAGCTCCTCGGATGCCTGCGAGTGTCGTGTAAAATAGTTTACTTTAAAGTAGCCCACATTCGAGCAGGTGACCCACGCCTCATCGAAAACACGTGATTTTAAAAGAAAGCGGATTTTAATTATTTATTTTTTACCTCAGAGTCCTTCAGTCACCGAGATTGTGAGTTAATTGGTGTTGCATTTGTAGTCTGTCGTGTTTACAGGACAAGCACAGATAGAGACAGTTTATCGGACCGCACAAAAAGAAAGCCGCAAAATGTTCTCTTTCTGCGGGACAAGCACACGCGCAGGCACAAATTAGACAGAGGTGCGGCGAGTGCGTTAATTAAAAGCCAAATGAAACCTTAATCGCCGTTTGGGACCGCAAAAAAAAAAAAAAAAAAAAAAACCTCAACCAAGCAAAGTGCCATAATGTTTTTTAAAGTCGTTTTGATAAGCAGACGTCAGGGACGCTTCTCTTGTTAACCTGTGTGCGTCTTTGTGCTCTGCTTTAAGGCCGCCGTTTAACATCCTAACATCCTCTCAGGTGTCACTGACTCACTTAAAGGTTGGATTCTGTGTGATGTTTGATCAGGTGAACAGGTTGCTATTAAGAGTCGGGAAGAGCGCACAACTGCGCCTTGTTCGCTGTCCTGTCCGTCCAAAAAGGGAAATTGCGCTTTCAGCTGTGTGTGCTTGATGGTAAAAAAAAAAAAAAAAAAAAAAGGAAGGAAGGAAGAAAAAAAAAATTCCAGGATATTTACTGATAAAATGTTGTTTCACGTGACGTATAAAAGGCTTTAGAAATTATTCAAAGGGTGCTTGCGGTACCTATACTCTTTCTTTCCTTTTTTCTTTATTTTTCCAATTTTTTTTTACTAAACGCGTCCATGGCATGCCACGCGTAATTTCCCTGTGTGGTTTTTGATTAGTGTAGTCTGTAGGGCTTTAGATGTTGCTGTCTAACTGTGATGTAAATCCCAGCAAATTGCAGTTATTTTCTTTTATTTTCTTTCTTTCTTTTCTATTTTTACGGGTTTTTCTTTATTCTCAGTTACAGCGAAGCGGGAAGAAAATAAAAAGGCACTCGGAGCGCCTCGCGGCTTCACTGTCCTGTACTTTTGTTACATATGGTGAGTTTTTTGTGAACAATGTTGTAAAACGAAAACATAAAAACGTGACCTTTTACGATTTTTTGATATAAATTTATGTAAGTGGAATTAATAAAACCCATAAAACTAAACGGATGCTCTGTTCTGTCTTGATTTAACCTTACATTTTTAATTTTTTTTTTTTTACTAAATATAATAAATGGCAGATTTTTTATTCGAATTCTAGGATAAAAGAAACAATACTAGTTAAATATGAACCGAATAAAAAGGGTGAAATTTAGAATTACTAAAACATCAAATAGAAATCTCAGGATTTGTATTTGATGTTTGCGACATTGAGACCAAATCCTCTTATATCCCCAGATTCTATACATTTTTGGAACTGAAATAAGAAAAGACATAAAGACGTGTCACATAAATTCAAATGACTTGTTTAAGTTTTATTTTCACATTAATCAGAAAAGGGAAGCATGTTTAGACAATGGAAACCACAATAGAGCTGTGACAACAATAGAAAGGGCTTTTAGCAGCAAGTGGTTTTGGACTAAAAGGGACAAGACACGATTTCTATGGCAGCTCCTATTCCACAGATTAATGATAATTAAAAAAGAAAAAACACATTTTTTTTATAAATAGTTCTGTCAATATTCTCTATCTCTATATACATACCTTCTGTTGAAAGATGGTTTATTGGACGTAGTCCTGTGTTCAGTGTGGGGAACTAAACATTTGTAAGTTCAGCATTTCACAAAAGAAAACATGATTATTTTAGAGGTTTCAAACTCTAGTGAAGCTAAGGTCTAACCCAAGGTGAACACATTCATTTATTGCAAATTACATTTAATGCATTTGTAGGAAAAACCAGTCAGGCAAGCTTTTGGATCAGACTGAGCAAAAATGCTCCAGTCACATGATCAAATCTTTCACAGACTTGATAAATATTTCAAAACACTATTTATAGTCTGTGGACATCTTGCCTCATTGGGGATTTTTGTGATAGATCAATAAAAAGCAATGCATAATCTTAGAAATGGATAATTCATGGATTTTTGTATGGACTTGGACTTTAGCTCACGTTTACGAACCATACCTCTGGCACCGATTGCTGTAATTTTATTGATGTTCTTCTGATGAAGGGGGGAGTGGAGCCATGTCCCAGACTAAAGTCTTATGTTCCAGGACTGTCCTGTATTTAGTTCATTCCAACTTCTAGTCATATCTGGCCTGCTTAAGTGTTCCTACTGAAGGAAACTATCCTCACCATGGTGTTACTGTGAGGACTTTTTGTTCAGGATGATGTGCAGTGTTAAGTTTACCACCACACATTTTACACTATTTTACATGCAGGCTGAAGAGTTCTAATATTTTCCTGTTTGTCCAGAGAACCTTCTTTGTTGTGTCCTCCTCATAGACTGTTGGGCATGACTGTTTTACAAAGGCCAGATTTTGTAAAGTGCACTCCATTACTTTAGTTGTCCTGAAAAACAAAATCTTGCTCTCCACAGCTTCTCCAGAAGTACAGTGGTCTTTCATTTGGAGATGGGCTTAAAAGTGAGATACGAGATGTTCCAAACGTGATACATCACTTTATAACCCAACTCTGATTTTAACTTTTCCACAATTGTATTTAAGTTAATTACATAAAATTGGAATAATTGTGTGACCTCTGAAGCCGACTCATTGTACTGCATTTTATTTCGCGATACCAGTCTTAAATGGGCTGACAACAAATGCATGTCAAATGTTAAAGGTTTTATTTATCATAACTATGAAAGACCATGCATCTTATTCATTGCATTTCAGAAATATTTACTACTTTATGTTATGTGCTGTCACATAAACCCCAATAAGATCCTCAGAGGTTTGTGATTAAAATGTGTAAACCTGACGCTATTCCAGGGACAGGAATTCTTATACAAGACACTGTATAATACAAGTTGCAGGCATCTATTGCAGGTTTGGAGAAATCTCATAAATTATTGCAGCTTCTGAAGCCAATACATTATGAGGGTTAAACATTGGTTCAATTGCTGACTGCTGCTGCTGCTCCCTCCACCTCTTTGGGTATTGCTTCCTTTTTGCTACCCTGCTTGCTGTTCCGGTTGAGGCTTCCATTTAGAAAGTTATCTGGCGTCTGATGCTGGAAGTGCTTTCTGGTGCCCACCAGGGAGGGGTTGTTAACCAGAGTGTACAGGAGTTGCCAGTGCATCCGAGCCCGCTTGGTGCTGGAGACTTTGTGCAGCTTTTTCTCCTTCTGCACCAGTTGGATCCCTGAGGAGAGGCAGACAATATGACGGTCCCAACATGACACTGATACACACAAAAACTAATCTTTTAGATTCAAAGATGAAATGAGGTCCTCTTGTATGGGCCACCAAAGGCTTGAAAGATACAATGGAAAGAGTAATAATAGAAAGCAATCTTGTTTTTTTATCCTCCAAGTGTTGTGGGAGCTTACTGACTGAAAGCTTGAATCCCTCGGGTAGCATGAATATGTAGCAGGCAATTAGTGTAGCTCATCTGTTTAATCAGCTGCTGAAGATGTAATCTCTACAATACAATAGATTATTCCTCATAGATGCATTGTTTCCTGGATGCAAACAAGCAACATGTCCACAGCATGTCTGTAATTAGACTCAACTGGACCTACATTCCTCAACAGCTGATGAGTCCTGATGAGTTTTCTCTGCTTCTCTCTGACTATCTGCGTGGGTGACTGTCACTCACCACCCATTTGCAGCTATGATTATAGTTCAGCAGCAGAGCCTCCAAACAGCCCTACTTGCTGTGAGTAATTAAAAGTATAAAATTGGTTTCATCTGAATGAGAAAAAATAACAATTTTAGCAGTGATGATATTGTCTTTCAGGTGATAGAAGCTCACCAGAGCAATGAGGGATGATGATTTATTTATGGCGGATTTGATTGGGACCAGCAGGAGAGCTGTAAATTATTCCTCAGTGAGACTCAATTTGTTCCAGGCAAATTAAATCAGAACTGAAAATCTCCCATCTTGAGCGTGCGTGCAAAGCAGCTTTGAGATCTGATTATGTGCTACCATGTCTCCATTTCAAATAAAATTAAATATCTTACAGTCTTGCTTTCAATGCCAATATAAGGCCGGCATTCATCTTTAACATGCGAGTTATTTTCTGGTGTAAAATCCACCAATTAAAATGCTAGCGGCAACTTCATGGTATGAAAGACACATCTGTTTCCTCAGGATCATTAAGGTTATTTAGTATCCATCTCATCAATAACTCTATTAGTTATCACTACAATCAGCAGTGCAGTTTATCAGTACAATCAGCGACAGTGCAGTTAAATGCATCATATTCTGCTGTCAGGCTCATGCACCTCAAGTTTCTTCCCAAGCTCTAATTGAATGAACTAAATAAAATAAACTGGAAACAAGTAGCATAAAGAATATGTCAGATCTGACTTTTCACATAAAAGAACTGCTTAACTGCAAGACCCATTGAAATGTCCCTGTAGATGCATCCACCCAAAATCAATTATTCTTCACTGATGAAGTTGGTAATTTCCAAAACATTAAAGTTTTTATTAGCTTGAAGCTTTGTGCTATAAAAACTTTTTATATCTGTGTCAAAATGAGCTAAATATCTATTAATTGTCTACATCTGCAATAATAGTTTAAAAGGTTTGCTCTCTCTCTTGTCTAATAGAATCCATCTTACCTATTGGCTGTCTAAAGGAAGATGCATCTTTCACATTATCCAAATTCTCTGTTTGTTTAGTAGATTAACCTGTTGTGATGCCTCTTCCCTTGCTGTTATTGGCTCAGACATGAAAAAAATTCAGAACTAGCCTAAATTTTTGCAGGACAAATTTAAGGAGCAGTCTGATCAAAGTATACAAGTTCACGTGTGATGAATTAGCGAAACAAGCCGAGCGAAATAATCCAAAATGCCAAAATGCAGTGACTGCCTGCTGCCAGTGAAACACAGAAAGATGCAATTTTACATTTTGTAGATTTGTTCTAACGAAGTATGTTTTTATTGTATGCTCACTTTGCATCATTTTTCTAGTTTGGCCAAAGATTAAAAAGTGGAATCAAAAGTAGTGAGCGTATACCAAAGAGATAGCACATGAAGAGGACAGTACAGCTTCTCTTGAGTCAAAAGAGAGAGTGGGATGTGTTTCAACTGCACTACAGAAACCCTAGTGGTACAAAGACAGCACAGAAAATATGCTATCATAAACTATCATGTTTGTAGAGAGGCAGATAGATAGAATTATTTTCTGAAACTTTAAATGATTTTTTTTGTCTCCAAAATGTTCATTCTGAAAGTGCACCTAACTTGAGGTTTTTGTGGCCTCAAGTTAGGCCATAAAACATCAAGTGTATTGTGCAAAATCCAACAGAGAAAGCCTTATGAAGGAATTCTTGTTGATGTGAATTTAACTTGGTACTACAGACCCTCTTCAGCATCCCGCGATTTCTGTGCAGCTTTACTCTCCTGGTCCAAGGACTGCAGCAGTATCCCACAGAAGGCCTTCATCACAGGGTGGGACTGGCTCACCTCAATCTTCAGATAATGAGCATAGCAGCGGTAGGCTGCAGACAGACATAGGAGAGAGAGGGGGGGGGTATTACTCTGACAGGGCAAAAGCAATAAAAAGCCAAGGCCACACCTCATGTTGGCTTTGAGGCAATCACACATAATAGCTGCACAATCACACTTCCCTCTTTTTTTTCCCCAGCACCTGCTTTTCCTGACAACAGATGTCTTAAATCTGAGCCCATTTCAGAGATTGGTGTCCAATTAGTCTGCACACTGCACAGAATACAGATATGATGCAAGCTGCAGAGCTGAGAGGACAGGAAAATGGACAGGATGCTAATTTCTAGCCTCTAAGTGGGATAACAGAAGCTCTTTCTTGTTGGTTAAAAGGCCACGTTTGAAACCTAAGTGAGAAAAATAACAATGCATTTACAAAGTGTACAAGCATGCTGCAGCTACTCTCTGATATGTAAACACAATCATTTAAATTCTGAAAGCTATTTGTGCATTCTTATTGCTTGCTTGCACATTTAGCTTTAATGCACTCCAGCACATGCTGTCTCTCTACCCAGATGTAATGGGTATAAATAAAAATAACAATTATGCATGCATTTATTCTAAAATCCACTCGTATTCATGTACTTTTATGGAAATAACAGCCATTACAAAATGCATCCAATACTCAAAGACCGACACATTTTGTGAAACGCAAAGTGCCTGAAATGATTTGAACAAAAAAAAAAGCAACCTGCAGGACCAAAGGAATAATTTATCATCATGCACATGCATGAGTCAAGAACAGACCTCAAACTGAATATTTAACTCTGCAGTGTAAACACATCCCTTATTGCGCAAAAGAGTTAAGGCACACAAAGGAAACTCTGCTTTGCTCATGCATTGGGGGATAATTAGAGATTTTATGTGGCGAAGGAATTCAACATCAATCAAGCAGCCGTATTCTGCAAAGAACCAAGAGAGCCATGGTGGAAAGCTATGCATAGAATGTTACATACATCTTTATAAACTGACAGTCACAGCACGGTCAATGCCTCTGAACACCATGCAGAATATATCTGGCCCACCTGGGTCAAATGCTTCCACGTTGCGGTTAAGAAGACTGATATCCATGCGTCCCATGTGCACTATATTGAACAGGGCTGTGATGATCATGCGCCAGATAGCAAGCAACACTCCAATCAAAACATTGACGGGAAACAGCAGATATGTCAGCAGGAACAGATTACCCCTGTAAGATAGGTCAGAGCACGTCAAATGTACAAAAAGCCATGCAGCTATGAAACAGGGAGACAGATAAATGATGAATAAAGAGAATTACCTGTTGGTTAGGTCTCGAGTTCCTGCTGTTTTTTTGATGAAGCAAAACCTGGCAGTGATGTGTTGAAGCACCACAGCTAGGAGAATCATCAACCAGAAAGGCCTGAAATGCCAAATTTGACAGTCAGACATTTTCTGTTTTCAGACAGGACACAAAAAACCTATTTGTAGGAGACAGGAAACGTGGCCAAGCCAAATTATTCCTATGAATTGCACATGGACGATATTGTAAAATGAAAATGGTTTCTGGGTGTCAAGATAAAAACAAAGAAAGAGAGAGATTGCTTCAACAGATATATATGCATTGCAAAAAAATGTAATATAAAATGAGTGTCTCATATGACAGAAATGTCAAAAACATGTAAAAGAACAACAGTGAGTATAAATTGCAAGCAATGCAATGTTGCTCACCACATGCTCAATGCAATCTGAAAGAGAATCAGATTCTGCCTGTGCAAAATGGGTATGATTATGAGGAAGACAGCGACCATAAGGCAGAGGAAGAACACCAACGTCTGGATGATCATGCCTGCATAAGAAACATAAAATATTTCAGACTCACTTTTCCCTCCGTTTTACGACAATGAATTATAGATACATTTCTACAAGCTTAATTCTGATTGGATAGGTAATTTTAGTACCAATACAGATGTGAGCTGCTGTGAAGCTGGTGTAGCCCATCCAGCAGACCAGAGCTGGCCTGGATGCCCTGATGCTTCGCTGGCAGTTGTAGACATTATAAATATCTCCTCTGTACAGCCCCTTTAGATTGGACCTGGAAGAAAACAGATTCAAGACAATGCAGCACTGTGTGAAACACAAAGCTTAATATAAAACTCATATTGCAAAGGTAGAATATTACTGAAAATGCAAGACTATGCTTTACCTATGAAGCCATTTCATTTAATATTAAGTCAATTTTGGTAATTACACATTATTTAAATTTTCCATCTAAACTGCTGTTTTCAACTTAAATAGCAGCAAACAGAAAACTGACTGCTCTTCTTTGTGGATAATTACCTCTCTATTTTGTTGTAATAACCTTCAAATTATTATGATGAAGCACAATGGAATGCAAAAGCAATTTTTGGACACTGACTGGAGACCAAAAATATCGAAAAGGACACAATTATTCAGTTATATTTTCTGACTTACCGATGCAAAACCATCGACCGCATGAGCAGCACCAAGTTGACCAGACCAGACAGAGTCATCGCAGAGATGTAGCACACTGCAGGTACATCAGCATGTGGTAAGTTCAAAACGCTGTCACATCGAGTTCAAAAAATTAAAAAATAAAGATATCTGCTGAGGTTGATAATTCACTCACCTTCCACACACCACATGTAGTAAACAACGATTCTGACGACTTCCTTTTTGTCTGGAGACAGGATAATCTGGAAGCCAGCTAAAACATTTGCAATATCTTCATCGACGCCAAACCGGGCTTTCTGCATTGTTGGCACCACAGCAGAGATCAATACAAGTCCCATCTGATGGAGAGAAAAAAATGAAAAACAGAATTAATTTGGTAATTTCTCTGCAAGCAAACTAAAAGGTTTAAAAACGTGATGCGAAAATAGAAATCTATATTAATTCTGGCATTCAGCAAAAGGAAAATTTGCCTGAAACAGGAAAAGTTGATTTAATGTCCGAGGGATATTTCTTCATATATAGTGTATGTAAATGTCTTGGTGAGTGATACTGATACAGTCAACAGTGTTGGTTTATTTTGTGTTAAATGGAACACATTGATAGGGGATATACAACTGCTAAATATATGTATAGAAGAAAGGTAATTACCTGATACAGAGTTATGAAAGAGACAACACAAGATATTGCCAACTTCAATGGGAAACGGAAAGCTGCTTGAAAAGAAAATATTAATGTTCAGAAAAAAAAGTGAAAAATATTTGAATATTTCTATAAAATTAGTTTACATGAACACATTCTTACCTTCCTCTGGAGTGTAAATATAAGATCTCACAGCATCAGTCACTCTCTGTGGGAGTTTTGGTTTGTCTGTGCTTGATGTGCTAAAGGTGAAAAGCAAATAGTTATGCACTTGAACTGCACTAAATACTACAATGGACAATATATTATTCTTACCTGACTTTGCTGGACGTCTTCTCATAAAGAATTGCCTTCACATAGTCTCTATAATAGCTGCTACTAAGATCCTGAAGGAACAGAAAATGGCAACATGCTTTATATCGGAAAAAGGAATGAAGTCACAAGCTGCGTAATGTTTGTGAATATTCAACCCTGACTTTATTTTATGGATGTTAATAAAACATAAAAATGCTTTATTCTAAATGTGGCATTTAAAATTTAAGCTCATCCAGTTGTTACCCTGCACAACTGGGCGGGGGCAGGGGGTGACCAAAAAGACCCCCGTAATAGTTAAGTTAGAAACAGAGAAAGCCTCCATATCCACTGAGCTGAGCTATCATATTTTCCATGAGATCCATGGAAAATATGATATGTGATATGTTCAAGTGGATCTCATGGACATATCACAACATCTAAGTGATGGATGCCTCATGGAGATAAGTGTGCCGTTAGCCAAGTGCACCAAAACCAAGACACTTAATGAAATGAAATACAAACTGTATGCTTCATCAATTCAAGAACAGCAAAACAAGACTTTGTTTGGAAAACATATTCAAAACTTAGTTTTTAGTGAAATAAGGGAAGTGAAATCTACATGGATATATGGTGTCAGCTAAGCTCAAGCCAAATCCTGTTCGGACAATTTTTAAACAATTCAGACATAATAATAACAATAAAATAAACAGCTTAAAAGCAAAATGAAAGCAATGTTAAAGGGTATTTTAATGATAAAAGAAGTAGTTGATTTTCTAATATTTCAGTCAATCATAGGACATCAACCTCATCGACTTGCATTTCACATTTTAAGAGAAAAGATTAGAAAGAAACTCACAAACAGAACTGTCTTCACTGCCAGTTAGAAGTTTACAACCCTGGCAATGAATGTCACATTTATTTTGTGCTTTAATACTTTGTTCACATCTATAAAGTCCTGAAGCATTTAGCAATTCAGATTTTGCCATTTGCAAACATTATGAAAAAATAAATCTCTTCCTGATAAGGTTAATGAGATTCATTTCTGTGCAAAAATTCAGCAGAGGTGGGATGGAGGTGATTCAAAATCCAGGCAATCGCCTCACCAAACTGTGTTTGGTGATGCTAATCTTTCTCCCAAGATTAGCATGGAAGAAAAAAAGCTTTGTGTTTCCCCTTCAACAAAAAAACCTGGAAACCTTTTCATAATCTGATCAAGAGCATATTGTAAACCAATTACGTCAAACCTGCTTAAAATGATTATGCGACTGGTGTACTGTGAGGGGCCGATATTTTTATTAAGCCTTGACTGAATGAGCACAGTAAGCTTTTTGTTTAACAGGCAGTACTTAAACCCTACTCACGTGCACAGACTTAGAGTAAATGTGCATTTTGTGAAAATTATTTGAAAAGAATAAGTTGAATCATTGCAACCATCCTGAACCAGGCCTAAGATGCTCCCTGGTGAAAGCTCACCTCTGTGGCATTGGTCCTTTCTGAACCCTTGAAGCCCTTGAATAGAAGCAGAGGATACTGGAAACTGAGGAATGCTAAGCAAGCTATCTGAGGCAGGCTGGAAAACAAGGAGTAGTGCTTGTGTATCTGCAGAGGAATGAAAAAAACAAAACATTTTAGATCACATGTGGTTGTGGATCTTTATAATAACGCATTTGGAAAACATTTTGCATGGAACAAAAGAAGATAGACATGTCTTGAGTTGAGATGGGATTTAGCCAATTTTAACTATTCAATTGTCATTTTTGTTTCATTTTGGATTAAATTAAATGAAAAATAATTAAAACTGTGTCCTGCTTTTTTGGTCAGTAAAGATGCTCAACACCTCACAAGGCTTCACAGAAGCAGACTATCACAAAATAATCAATTCAACATGTTTTTTTCTTTAACTGACACACTCTAAAGTGATTAATACCAACAAAACATCTTAGTTTAGACCAGAAGATAGTGCAGCTAATCGTTTGGACAGAACATTATTTAGTGCACAAAAAGTCCTAAAATCTTTGCACAAAATCTGTCTTTGTGCAACATTCAAAGCCTCAGAGTAAAGGTCTGTTAATCTTCCAGGGTAGCTCAGTCTTCATCTTTTCTAATTGTGTCACACTGCAGACCAATTCTGTTCGGTACTCAGTGGGCTTCCACTGCAGGACAGAGCTGCTTTGTTTTTGAAATAATCCATTTTACACTGATGGAGACGCCACACAGACTGACTGTCAGAAATAATGCACGAACAGCTTCTTTTTCCTTCTCTCACATAAATCAAGATTTTAATGAATGAAGACTATTTCTGAGTTATTTTCAAAGAAAACAGAAGTTATAAATTACTCACCAGGGGTGTCTTGGGGCAGTCGACTTTTTGCCACACCAGAACACCAAAGTGTGTCCATGATAAGAGGCTACCGAGTACGTATCCAACTTTATTATGTAAAGTGCCACATGCCAGGAGAGGGTAGTATAGAGCGGGGTAGTAGAAGACTCCCAGAATCACCCAGTTCTCTGCAAATACAACACCAGTGTGTGAACATCTGAAGGTGTGACAACATTTTGGATTAACAGCTGTCAATTATTTAGCATTTGTGGGCGTTTTTCTGATTTGTGAAGCTTTTACAGTTTTTTGGTTTGGCATAAAGATACAACACCATGACTCTTTGAAACTATTGATGTTTCTTCTCTAGTTTCAGACAAAAACAATTTTCAAAATGTCAGAGTCAAAAGAGAGCAGGAGTGCAACAAGACACAATAATCCAGTTTTATAATGTATTTAACAAATGTAGAGTTTTAAGAGTGGTTATCCTTCCAATGTTTTCCTGAGAACAATTAATATCACAAAATATGGAAATAATACATTAAGCCATTGCAGACAAGATGAGGTTGAGCTCACGTTTGTGTGTGGAATCTTTGGTGAAAGGTAAGGGATTGGGGGATATGAGGAGCCCCCAGAGTTTGCACAACAGCACTCCAAACACTGCCACTGCCAGACCCTTGTGCTGCGTATGATCCAGGAAGTTGACTGGACTGAGAGAGCAAATCAGCAGGTATTTAGTACCAGACCAAAATAGAGACTGGTTAGTTAATACATTTTAAAAGCTACAATCTTTATTGTTCATTTTCTCTAATTCAAAATAGGTGGGAAAATAAGTGGGGATGCATTATTGTAGTAGAATAGGATAGCAGCAGTTTGGTCTCAAACAATTTGAGACCAAAGACACATATTCACAAACAGAGTCATAGAGTGGTATGTGTGCCACTGGTTAGAGTAGAAGCAAACCCTCAGAACTGGTCATAGTTAGATTATAGCTGAAATTTGTATTACTTTTTTATAAGCACGGCAGTCATATTGTATGCTTATGTCTTATGAACCTTATGTCTGTTCAACGAGTCCTCAGATTTCCCAGTGTGAATTCCAACTTTGTTCTTTATGTTGTTGTTTTTTACTCTCCAACTGGTAACTTGGAAAATTCGCTCTGAGTGAAAATGGAATGTGGCGTAATTGCAAGATGGACCACAAAGTTACGATTTACATATGGGGCCCTCATGGATGGAAAAATGGGTTAAAAATTTCTTTCAGATGGGATTATTATGTGTTAACTGCCTGTAAAAGTTTGACGCTGGACAATTATGGATAAGAAGCAGGGCCCATGGTGGTGCATGTTCAGCTGATTTTCCAGATTTTTATTTGGGATTCATCTGAGCTCATTAGAACTTATTCAACCAGCTCAAAGTTCACATGGTACTTGTGTTCAGATGTTAGCTCGAATATTGGATTTTCTAATTGTTGAAATGCTAGCCAGTGTTTGTAATACAAACAAAAAATGTATTTCTAAAATCCTGATGTGGTCAAACATTAAAGTAATATGTTCACAACTATAGGCACGAAGTATAGACCTATGTGTTCAAACTCTATAAAGGAAGATTTTCACAAGGAATCGCTGAATGGTTTGTGCCATTTGTGTAGAAACACAATTTGAAAAATGGACTAACAGTTTTGTTTGCATGGCACTCATATTAAATATTGAACTTTAATGCTGTGCTCTGTTAAATGTTAAGAGTTCTTCTGTAAACACAAATATTACGCATGCTAAAGTTAAAATCCCAACTTGAACATCTCGGAGGAGTCAACAAATGTAACTGTTTCTATTACTTACAACTAAAGAACTTTGTCCTCATGCAATTTCAACTTTAGGGGCAATAAATGTTTTCCCTCATATATTTATTTTTAATTGTCTTCATTAAAAGCAAAATGGAACCAAAGTCAAATTTCTTGCTTGTGTGCTCACACTTAGCAAATGAAGCCGATTCTAACTAAGCTTCTTAGTACTAATAAAACTAATGCTGTTCCAATTGATCCATCAATTGTTCACTGATGGAATATTAAACTATATGATCAGTGCTTTAGAGGTAAACAAACTTGCCAACCTTTTCAAGTTTCCTGGTTAGTTGGCAACCATATTAAAATGTATTTCCCAAAATGTTTTCGAGAAAAGTGAAAGCACAACTGAAAGCAAAATAAACATACACTTTTACTCCTGATTTATGACATTACAGCTGAACCAATAAACACTTCAGAGATCTTAAAGGCTAAATTTCACCCTTGATAGCAAATGGTCTGTAAGAAGGATTTTCCCTATATAAATGAACTTGTTTACATGTTAAAGCTTAGGTTACACCGAAGGATTTGAGGCCAGTGGAACAGAATGTTACCAAACAACTTGAAAATCACAATAATCCATTCATGTGAGTAAAGAAAAACATAAATGATACCTGAGTAAACCTGGAAGTCCTTTTTGTCTCTTACCGACCTTTGTACGCCCAGCCAGGATGGCTAGAATTAGCATGATGACCAGCTGAAAGAACAGACATGTTGGTTAGCTTCAGCTGCAGAGCACCATGCAGTGACATGTAACAAAAGGCTTAACCTCAGTCTCATTAGTGTTCCCTATATATGCGGTCTGACCAACGTGTCATTAGTCAGGATGACCATTTACTGAGGGGGTTCAATGACCTTTGTGACCTGTGACACATTTAGGAAATACTGAGGTGGGAACAATGTTTTGCTATTAATTGAGGCAGTCTATACCAATTGTCTCTAAAGAGAAGAAACACTGAGTATCATTATAAGGTGGATAAGATAGTGGATACTGTACAATTCTTAATTATTGCACATTTGTTTAGCACCATTAGTGGTCATGAATGAACATCTCAGATGAAGATGTACAATTTTCATGAGTCAAAACATGACAGAAAGGTTTCTTCAGTATACCACAAGAAATACAAATGTCGAAAGTTTGCTTTTTAATGTAATTTCTTCATTACATTAAAAAGGGGTCATGCTAGACTGAGTTGTTTTGTTGGGTTTTTTTTACAAATGAATTATGGAGTAACTTTCATAATCTAGGAAGTGAAAAATGACTGACATTGCATAACCTCATTGAGGATGTCAGTGTAATGCTGTGTAAGAGAAAAGTGAATGGATGTCAGACTTACAGATATCACAGTGATGCATATGTGATAGAGCATGTCATCTGCAGTGGGGTCACATGGAGGGATAGTTCTAAAGAAAAAGACAAATGATTCACATGTTACCAAAGACAGAAGGCAACTCCTCGAGTTTCTGATCTGACCTTCGTTGTACCTCACTAAGCATTTCACGTCAGTGTCAGGATCATTTGTTGCTGGTAGTCAAAGTCTAAGAGCAGAGATCTGGATTTAAACCGATTGGTATGAGTGTGACACAGGCTATGATCATGTTCCTGTGCAACATGGAAGGTAAATATACTAGGTTCACATGGGATGTTAAAAAAAACATCAACATAACATTTTCTGGCATTTAATAACTTTTACGGGCTGCTGCTTATTATTGTATGCAGAATCACTCATGGATTGTTCCACATTTTACTGAATTTTCAATTGAAAATTTCACTATGACTCAGCCATTGTGATACATTAATAAGTTACACCAATCCATTGTCTGTCTGGATGTTTGTTTACTGTTCTCCTGCTTGAAGTTGAACCTTTGACCAAGTCTCATATCTTTTTTTTTTTCTTGAAGAGGTTTGTCTTTATTAAAATTATTTAAACTTCAAATCAATACTGAATGTTGAATTGATGCCTGTTATGGGTAAAATGTGTTAAAGTTTTTAAGCCTTTTTGTTAAAAAGATTCACCCAACAACATTTGCAAACCTAAAAGGTTAAAAATGATACGGTTTAAGAATGACAAAAAAACAAAACAACAACAAAAAAAAAAACTCTCCAATCTGGGTCACCTTCTGTGATACAGTAGAAGTCTGATATGAGTCACCTTATATCTCAGTGAGAGGTGTATCTCAGCACCAACTCCAAACAAAAGATTGGGGAATTACTACTCAACATGAAACAGGATATATTAAGTTGAATTTGTTTTGAGAAACAGCATAATGTTCAAAATTATGGACAAAATACAGATCTTACATGAATTGCAGTTAGAAAGTGCTATACTTACTCTGTTTCAATTTTGGATGGCAGTGGATCCAGATCGGGATACTCATAGTCCACGAGCGCATCCTCATCCATTGTGCTGTCTCTTTATTTAAACAGATCCTGTTACAAAGAAGTTGGAAAACTGTCCACAGTGTCTGGTGACGGAAAGCTGTGATCCCGCTGCCTCTGGGGAGGTGGAGGAATCAACGCAAGTCCTACGTTGGCCTCTGCTGTGCTTGCGGCTGCTGCCCCGGCGTCCTTGTTCCCTGTGTTTGGTCTAGTCTCACTCAGAGTCTTCTACCCTCTCTCACAGTCTGCATTCAGGTGCCCTTGTCCCGCTCTGGTCCTGAGTATAATGTGACAAGTTCCAGCTCCTGCCTGCTACCTCCACCCTGCTTTAAGGCCCTGTTTCAGCTTAGGGTTACTACCAACAAGCCTGGAGAAAAAGAGTGAGAGAGGGGGCAAGAGTGTAAGAGAGGAGGGAGATATGTGGAGATCTGGGGAGCCAATCTGGAAGGCCACCCGTGTCTTACTGGGATTACATCTACTTTTTAAACTCTGCTGTCGGACCTGTTGCTTGCGGCTTAAGAGGTTGGGTGTGCATGGTAATAAAACTCCAGCTTTGACTGTGTGGGTAGCTGGAAGCAATGAGTCTGTCTTATCAGAGCCATTGAAGTTCCACACTGATAAAAGGAAAATTCTACTGTTGTTCCTTTTTGTCATGGTACAAGGTTGTTCTGTACCATGGCAAATCATGTGTGAAAGGTTACCAAAAGCTAATCAAGGCAAGTCAAAAAAAAACCCATGTAGAATTATGCAGCAGAATGTGTTTGGTCTAGCAGGACAGAGAACATTTTCCCAAAAGGTTATATCTCCATCTCTGAGATGGATAAGAATCAAGGAAGGGCTCATTCACTTCAGTACTTTGTCATTTACAGATAAAAAACAGATACAGGGAACAGAATACAGAGTGCGATGATAAAGTTTGTACAACCCTAAACATGTTCTGATTTTATAACATTACAACAAAAACCTCTGGGTATTTTTTTTTTTTTTATATTATGTGATTCACCGATACAAACCTGTGTTTAATTACAGAGTGAAGGATCCCTGAACTTCTGATTAGATGACGAGCATCTTTAACTATATGTTTTCAAGTCTTTCCACAGATTTCGAACTGAAATTTAGATCTGGACACCTAACACACGTGTGTATTTTTAGGGTCACTGTCCTGCTGGAAGGAAGACCTATACCCTACTCCCAAGTTTTTTTGAAGCCTCAAGCAGGATTCTTAAAGTGATCTTATACTGCCACAATGCCAACATTTCTACTTGCATATCTTATTGTCATAGAGACAGAACGCAGGAATGAAGACCCATCTGCTCCATGTTTTTGTACAAATTAAACAGTCACATATTTTTCCATTTTTACAACTAACATATAAATAATTAATCATTAACTTATCAGAATGAGAGCTATCAAAGTGAGGGTGTGACTGTGTTCTCAGCACCTATTTTACTGTCCGGACATTGATAAAACCTACTGATCTTCATCCTGATGATCACAAAGAATTAAGATAATGTCATGTTATCATTTCAGCTGTGCAGAATTTACTGGTTCAGCCTCTTCAACATCTTTTTCAAAACTCCCCTGCTGGAGACAGAACAGTTGTGTCCCTTTATTATCACTTTTAAAACATCCAGGTCTGAAACTGAGAAAAGTTATATCTCATACAGAATTTGTACTTTTTCCCACATTGAGAAATTTAGCTTTTTTTTAAGCATAATTTTTTTAATGTATACTGCTAAAGAGCAAACATTTACTTTGCATATCTACTTATCAAAACAAATTTGTGGGATCTGCGGTTAAAAGTTTCAAAGTAGTAAAATGAACCTTGAGATTATTACAGTGCCTCAGAGACAACACTTTTATCAGACAAGCAACAACAAATAAGTAAGTGAATGATCACATCTAAATGTCACCAATGCATGCAATTTGGATTTCCACAGTCTTACAAAACATAATATTTCAGCAATATGTAAATCTAACCAGCTTTGTATTTTACTAAAACTGATAGCCTCCAAGTGTGTTTAGTCAAAACATATTACTACAGCACAGAGTTCCAGCAGAGATTAATTTACAACTTCTTGTACTGCAATCTAAAAAGAGTAGCGATAAATGTACTGCAAAGTACATCAATGAAATAATTCTTTGCCAACCTTTATTTGTATTCCTGAGTCACTAATCTAAGCAACCATTCTTTGCGAATTTAGCATTTTGTATTTACAAAAAAAATCTTAAAAATGTTGTTTTTCAATAAATGTGAATAATTATATTTATAAGGTCTGTATTTGATAACACACTGTAAATGTCATTGACAGCAATGTTCTCCTTTTGTCTCAGAGTCTGAAATTGTTGTTCATTATTTAAATGTCCCTTCTGATGAGAACACAGCTCACTAAGTCACCAAATCAAATGTGTTCCCAAAGCAAAAGCAGCCCACCAAATAAAGGGGTCACTGAACAAAGAATGCTTTGAACAGTTACATCACAGAGAGGTGGTTTGATTGAATAAGACACTTAACTTTCTTCTATCAGGTTTAGGAAGTTAACTCAAAAGGTTTTTGGGGTTTTTTTTTTTTTGGTAAGAAGCAAGCTATGTTAAGAACGGGCATCAGTCTTGACAAAACAGAGCATAATTGATGTACTGACTGGATAATCCATTTTTAACAATGTAAACATGCAAACCATCACCACAGACAGGCTGTGCATTAACAAAGCAATCAAGGAAAAATTGTCCGCAGGTTTGCAAATGTCATGGAGTTCCGTCATGTTTAAACAAATGCTCTTATGTTTTGTTTGCACACTTATGATCGGATAAAAAAAAATATTTAAAAAGAAAAATATTAAATTGAAATACAACATTGTCTTAACACTCTCAGGCTTAAATTACTTGCAAAGACTGGCTGAGTTGTTGCAAATCTGCAACACCTGCCTGGAGAGGGTTAAAAAAGAACTGAACTTTAATCAGATTTCTGTTAAAAGCTAAAAACCGACAAAAGAAAATAGATATGTCTCAGTTGACTTCGCTCTAAAATTAGTGTGTGAACATGTATGTAATATTCCAGTCCAATGCTACACAGTTTACGGAAAACCGTCGGCGCGTTGAACAATAAACCTTTTCTGCAAAAAGAGAAGTGCCCGAATGGCTGTTAACGTTAATTCAGGCCAACACAGACTGAACAGTTTGTTTCAGTTCATCTGCTACCATTGCTAAAACTCCAGTCAGACAATCCTAAAGCAGCACAGAAAATCAACACCATTGTTCACAACTTCTCCTTCATTGTGCTAATTGAATCAGTATAAATTCCACTGGAGGAATCAACTTCAATGGGAGAAACCCCAGATGGTGAACTGAAGGGAGATTAGAATCAAGTGAAATTAGGAAAGAAGATAATGGACAGGGTTACTCACAGCAGCTATGCATCCCCTTTTCCATACAGTGACTAAAAGGGAGGAGGTTACATCTGACCATCTTTAAAAATCATTTTAATCTAGAAATATTATCTACTGTAGAGTTGAAGGATTTTCTGTTTTTAATGAGCTCCTCCTCAATAATCTTCCTGATTAATCTTCATCAGAAAATAAAACTTTCCATAACTGCATGAGTCAGCTGCTTGGCTTTGCCTTTTAGAGGTTTGCATCAAACAAGAATGTTGTACGTTTTTTCCTCTTCAATTCCACTTGAAGTCTGTTAACTCAGTTAGCCTTAATTTTCTTCTGTTAGTGTTGGTTAGGGGGCGGGGGAACAAAGCATTTGTTCTTATGGCATCCAAATGGCAAGGAAAACAAATGTAGACAGACCAGCAGAAACCAAACAAACAGACTCACTCAGGTGGCTATTTTGACGTCATTGAGTTGAGAAAATGATACAACTGTCATATTCTTTTGTTTCTCTTTGCTGTTCATTTTACTTGTAAATATAAAAAGAAAACAAAATCAAGATTTCTGTTTATCCATCACAAAACGGCCAAAAAAAAAAAAATTCATATTTAAGTGTACAATTTTTGTCCTGTAATAAAAATCAAACAAACCATTATCTATGGGTTTCACACTGATATCTGATTAGAAAACACTACCAGCTGAATCCGTGGACGTTTTAAACATATAACCAGCCGACGTGATTCCAGTTTTGAGTTTCTCAGTTTTAAACAAAAAATCAGGTGCAGACCCGCCATATTTCCCACATTTGTGAAAGCGTCACTTTTTTTTTTTTTTTTTTTTTTTCCGTGACTGACCCGGTCGGGTTCGGCTTCAAACAAACCTCACGACAAACCTCAAGCCTTTGAAGTGGAGCCTGATTTTCCGAACAAAGACACTTTCAGCGCCGCCAGGTAACCGAGTCACCTGCGCCTCTGCTCTGCGCGCAGGAGGCCATCCTGGAACTGCAGCATTGTGCTTAAATAACTGACTCGCATTAAGTGTCAACACCGAATAAACACCGGAACAGATCCTATGAAGCTTTGTGTGCGGCGGCGGAAACCTTCCAGCCTCCGGAAAGATTCACAGGTGGGTGTGCTGCGCTGAGTAGGCTCAAAGACTTAATATCTACTTTAATAGCAATTGATTTTGCGATTATTTTCATTAATTATGCACACGTTTTTATTTTATTTTTTTCATAAAGGCTTTCACGCTATGAATTGTCTAAAATAAAAGATTAGCTCAGAGGTTTTTTGCAAAATTTCAGTCCTAAATCAGGATCTTACCTTTGGTCCGTCTTGTCCAGTTCACTCTTAGTTTGAAGAGGCACCTTACAGCAATCCAGTTATTACATAACCAGCGATCTCAAGGGTAACTTTTTTTTCCCCCTGAACACCCCATGCTACACAAAGGTGGGACTTTGCTCTGTCTCTATCTTGTGATGGTGAAAGCATCATAAAATGTCTGCTCTATGCAAACAGAAAAAAAAAAAAAAAAACAATGTTGTGAAACATTAAGTTGTGACTAATGAGGTCAAGTTCAAGTAGTTTCCACTGATGCTGTTCGTAGTGAAATCTGTGTGTTTTAGTGTCTTGAAGGTGATTTCCAGTGGCAAATCTTGTTTGCTACTAAATGCACAAGAAGACAGCTGGGGAGTAAAGTTCTCAAAAAATATCATGGAAGAATCACCTTTCTGTTTGCATTAATTACATCACCAGAAACATAATCTTAATCTGATCAGTTGGCATTTGTAATCCATGTGGTCAGTGAATGACATTTGACAGACATAGAATTTTAAACAATTTTTAAATTCCAAGTGTTTCTTCTGTGCAGGTTTTCCAAAGTTTACTAAGAGTCTTCTGGCCCTCAAGGCATGATACAAAATGCAGTTAATGGTGATATTAAAACAAACAATTGTTTTGCAATTACAATAATTGTCTTCAGAACTTCCATTAGTAATTTTTTTTATGTATTTCTCTTTTGAGGCTTTTTGAGTCACTTTTGTCACTTGCATAGCAATTAAATGTCACATTGTGCTTCCATTAGTGTAATTGGTTACATGATTTGCTAGTGCAACGGCTCTGCCTGTTGTCTTGGCTCATATGGTTTAAGCTTTTTTATGGTTTCTAGACTCCTAAGTGACTTTTTCAGCTTTCTTCAGCTTTTATACCCTCAAGAATCCATAGATGTTGTTTGCCAAGTAAGGACAAAAGTTACTTTTCTTAAAGCAATTTTCTGTTTTCCATTCATTTTATTTATGTTATTCCAACTACTTCCTTAAAAATATACATTGATTCAGTCACTGTTTTTGCAAGTCATTTAATCAAATTACCAATTATTATCTTACTCTAGGTTTTCTTCTCAGAAAACATTTGAGCAATTTGATATAGTGTAGAATGAACTTCATGCTCATATCTGCAGTGCAACCTATTTGAATTTATATCCAATAAATTTTTTGTTCTTTACTTTGTGCTCCACTTATAGCAACATACAGTATATTTGTCAGCAAAGCCAGTTCAGATCGACCAGTTGTGAGAAGAAATATTGTCTTTATATTAAATCATGGCTCCTATAGGCCTCCAAGGTGCACAGGGCTAATAATTACTGTGGATATTTTTTACTGCTCAGTCTGCTCCACCGCCTCTGTCATAATCAATGAGCCCTGTTACAGTCAATTAGAGCATAATTGGATTTTGTGTTTGTTTGAGGTGGAAAAGCGTACATTTGAGCCGACACAAAAGACCTGCTTATCTCTGTCGACAGCTGCAATGAAGCTGAATGGAGTCATGTAGCTGTTAATATTCAGAATAATTAAAGTCAGTGTCAAACATATATTTAAAAAATGTTGTTCCAACATACATGGTTTTTATGCTTTAGAAAATCCTGCTTTTTAAGATTATTACTGTAGTAGATCCAGGCATGATCGTTTCCTTTTGAAAACTGTCACGTTTGGATCAGTTTTTACTTCCATTTTTCACATTCCTTAGCAGTCAGGTGGTGGGTCACCCACGCAGAAGTAATACTGAAGAGATGGAGGAGGAATTTGTCTCCTTGAAACGGAGCAAAGCCTTTGCCAACCGAAACAACTTGTCAGGCCAAGTTCAGTTTGGTTATTATTAGTGGTTGTTGGTGATGTAAATGGAAAATGTAAGGGATAAACTACATTATAATCTGTAAATTCACTAAAGAGTTTTTACTGTGGCAAAACACCAGCTGTGCTTATGTTAGTCACATGACCAAATAAGGGTGCCAGTCTGACCAGAGGATCTGAATGGGGTGTCCAGGGTATTCCATGTTTGTGCTTCATCTGAAAAGCTGCAGCTCTTCTACCATCCACAGACTGACTGCCATATAACTGCTTCACAGTTGTTCTTGTTTATTACAATCCACTGACCACTGACTCATTTTTCGCATTGGACTTGATCACATCAGATTCATTTTAATGATGGGACAATACTCGAAACCTTCATAAATGCATTAATTTGTCTATTACTGCATCTACCAAAATTAAAAAACATATATGCAACATGAAGCAACCCTTGGACATTGACCTGTCCATTTGTATTTGAAAGCTACATTCTGTTGGTTTCCCATTACAGTGATGTATTTTAACACTCCAAGCTGTTTATATAGTTTTGTTCACATAGATCTTTGAAGCATCCTCAAAGAGAGAAGCAGCATACAAGGTTGTGAAGTTAAAACATGTTCTTCATTTATCATTGACCATAAAGTTCTTTCAGGCACTAAATGTTGAATTTTCAATTAGTTTTTGGTATGAAACCTTAAGTTACAAACTGATGCCAAACATAAAATACGCATGAATGAATGTCCGTCTTAAATGCTTCTGTTTATGTTCTGAAATAATATTTTTTGCACTTGAAGCTATGCTATATTGTGTGGGGGTTTTAGAAAGATTGTGTTTTGTTAGTCAACAATATTACCCCTCCAGTTTAGGAGCTGTGGTAATGCTTGAATCGGTCAGACTTAAGTGGCTTAACAAACAAAAGCCCCATTCCTCAAGCACTGGGCAGAAAAAGGGAGGAAAAAAGCAGCCAATGTTCTAAATAAAACTTTGAAAGGTCTTTTCATTTGCTTATTGCTCAAGATCACTTGAAATGATTGCAAAAAGTCTGAGTATCGGAAACAAGCGATTGAAAACATCTTGTCATCTCAATTATACTGTTCAGTTGTAGAAATGTCAAGTCAGATCTTATTTTCTTGAAGACTTACCTTCCTACCATTACAGACTGTAAATATTTCACATTTTAAAAAGAATTATCAAGCTGGAAAGCTCTTATTTTGTTGGCAGGTTCAATCTTCTAACAGTGTTTTGATATTTACAATCGTTTTTGGGAATGTGATATGAGAGCCGAATGTTAAAAATGTAAGAACGTTTTTGTTTTTTTCTTGGGTTTTTTATCTGCATAATCCGTTGTTTAATGTATCATTTATATTGCAATCCAAAGTCAATATTGCTGTAGGGAAAAAAAAAATCAATTTTAGTCTCATTGGTCATTTCTGCAGTGATGTATTACTGTTATTGTACTGGGCAGAAAGAAACAGATTTATTTCAGAGTTTATGAGCACAGAGAATGAGACATTATATCTAAAGAGCTTGTGACAAGTACAAATCATCCTGATAGTTATTAAAGTGGTCATGATTACTCTGTTGAGGACGGCGGTGTGCAGTGCTCACTGTGTCACGTTCCTGCTGCGCTTGTCTGACAGGCACCTGAAATTTATGGCAGGGAGGGAGGGTTGAGTCTGAGCCGCTGTGTAGTAATCCTCTTTATGTAACGGCTCAGAAAACACCTTCAAACACACTCAGGAGTTTAATTTGATTTTTCACAACCTGTTTATCTAAGGTAATGGTTTCCAGTTTATGATTAAACACTGTTTAGAGATAATGATGGTACAGACATGCGCGTGCGGTTTATGAGATGACCCTTTACAAACCGAGACGTCGTCTGACATAAAGTCTCTGAACGTTTTCTGCAGATGTCTCATTTTATCTACTGGATAAAACTCAGTGAGTTTCATGTGTCCTGCTGGAGACAGCTAATGATAAAATAAAATCTTTAGAAAGTCTCCCTGTTTTTATTGTATTGCTCTTCGTGATGTGTGTTTATGTTGTTGGGTAAGCCTGTGTTCATGTCTGTTGTGTGATAGATGATGTCTTTGCTTTGGTCTCTGCTGTTATTGTCTCTGTGTGTGAGGGGGTTTCTGATGTCTCACTAAACATAAATCTAAAACTTCTGCTGGCCAAGAGTTCAGAGGAATATTGGCTTATTGTTCAGTTTTTTAGTTTTTTTAAAAATGTCTTTTAACATATCAGTAATGATGTGAAATTTTTGCAATCAGTTCTAAGGTACCCTTGACCTTCTAATTAGTAAAAATAGATTAGATTAGAGCTTCCCCTGAAATGCCAAAATGCAGTACAAATGTTGAAAAAAGTACTTAATTATGGCCACAGAAATTTCTTGGGGAAACAATTGTGCCAATATTGATTTCTCACCATGGTAAATGATTTTGTCTTGGTCTTACAGGTAATTTTGCTATTTCACACATAATAGCTTTCAGTTATTATATTAATAAAAACCCTTTTCATTTACATGGTGCATGTTATAGCTATCTAGATTAGACATTTGTGAAATTATCCTTTTAGAGGTAATTGAGGATGGAGGTTGTAGGTCTGTCAGCAGGTGTGTGGAGTGCTTAGATCTTCAAGGTTTACTGTTTCTTTTCTTTTACTATGAATGTTTTTTTAAATTAAGATCCATAATGTTCCTTTTAATTGTCATTGATTTATTCACCATTTTTGGAAATAGGAGCTCTCTGGAACTTAATTAAGGCCAGAGTGTTTTCCATGCTCATGAATTTAATGTCTGGTTATTGTTGAGTCCCTTCATCAGGGAATCTCTTGTGCCACAGGCATTCAGTCTGTCCACTCCTCATAAAATCGAGGCGGTCTCCTGGTCTGTTAGATTTTTCTTATGAATAATGCATTCATCGTCTGAGGCTACAGACGCGTCTCACTGTGTGTTCAGAGATGCTTGACTTTCACACATCTCTG